GGCAGCCCAGTGGGACCTCGCAGCCGAGGCTCAGGGCTGTGGCTAGAGAATGTGGCCTTGAGAAGCCCTTCCTCACCCAGGCCAGCTCCCGTCCGACCCTGGGTAGCTGCTGCAGAAATGTATTTTGGACCAAGCATATTAATGCTTGGTATAGCTGATCTCGTCCCCAAAACCACCTATGACAACAATGAGTGTAGAGATGACATAACGGGGAAGGATGGAGAATCAGGCAGTAAGAAGCGAATACAAACACAGGCTTTTATTTCCAGAAAAAAACTACCCACTACTGTGGCTGCAGCCGGTCCTCCTCACCCGGATCCACTCCAGATGCAACTGCCTGTGACGGGGGTGAGAACTTCTTGTACTCCCTGACCTGTCCCCTGGACTTAGACGGCACTTAATAAATATTAAGTGAACAACGAACTAGACATGTGCTAGAAATCTGGTCTGAGTTGCCTGGCAGTCAAAGCAAACAAGGAAAAGATCACCTGCAAGATTCACAGTGTCCATTCAAACCCAATCTCTAGGCAGCCCACGGGCTCTGGGATCTTCCAGAGGTTTCTATACTGGGTCTTCAACTCCACCTGTAGCAATGGTGTCAGACTGCTGGCTGTCACCTGAGACCATGAGACGCATTCAGGAGGGACCAGGGTTCCATTCCCCTTGGTGGTAAAAAGCCAAGGCCCCCTTTCCTCTGCTAGAAGCCACCCTCTGCCCCCCACCCCTTCCCCCCGAACCTTTGCTTCTGCTGTCTCCTGAACAGCCACCCACGTGTGCACACAGCAGAGAGGGCAGTGCAGCAGCACTTGGGACCTGGAGTGTGGAGGGCTGTGCTGTGCACCCCAAGTGTCTCAGGGACAGACAGCTGTGGCAACAGGAAGGTGAATGTGCTGGGAGGAGGGGCTGGGCCTGTGGTGGGGGCCTGGGCCAAGGGCGGGGCTGGGTACCAGAAAGAGGTTGCTGGGGCCTTCGGCATCCAGGTAGCTCTGCGGGGAAGAATGATGTTGAGTAAAGGTGTCCCAGGGGCATTGGGGCAGAGGTGACAGCACCCAGAAAGGCTTCCCTACAAACCACAGACTTGGGGTTGCTGGGAAGATAATGGCCTTTGACCCTCTGAGGGGGGGCGGTGCACGAGTCATGTTCTGCTGCGGGACTGCCAGGGTCCAGCACCTGGACTCGCACACCAAACCCACTTTGTGACGTCAAACATACATTTTAGTGGCTTTACTTTATGGGTCCTCGTTGCAAGCCAAGTTCAGCCAGGACCGCAGGACCTAGACTCACTCGCCATGAACGGGGAGTCCTGAGTGACCCGGGAATTAGAGAGCCTGAGCGTTCCCTTCCAGTCCACCAACAGGGACCGCAGGCCAGCTTCCCACGTGACGACGGGCTGGCTGGCTGACAGAGCCCGGCAGGCCGAGTCCCTGCCGCCCCCACAGATGTGGCTCATGGTCTGCCCAGGGCCCTTGGTCGGGCACATTCTCAGGTGTGCTGCTCAGACGCTGCTACCACAAGGCCCGCCGGGAAGGCCTGTGGTCCGATCAGTTTGGGAGACGCAGGCCTCTCTGCCAGCCCCAAGGCACAATCAGGAGCCTGAGAAGTCCCAAGCACGACCCCCTCTGACTTTAACCCAAACTTAGGTAACCATGGAACCCCTTTGTGCCACATCACATGTGTTTAACATCCCTGGAAATGGCTCCATTGGGGGAGAGTGGGAAGTCTTACAAATGAGACAATGTTCAAAGCAAAAACGGGGAAATGGGGGGCATATCATCCAGGATAATATGCAGCTCAACGGAATTGATTTCCAAAAAAGTTAGAAAAAATTTTCAAGGTAAACACAGCACCCCAGTAACTCGTCACCATCTAATTTGAACTCCTGGTTAGATCCTCAGTTACACTCGTACCAACCACTGCCACGCTCCTCCCCCAACCGAGAAAAACTGGGAGTGGTCGCAAGGTCAGAAAACACCCCCTGCCCTCTGCAGGGGCCACGCTCCTGCTGCAAGGCTGTGTGTGTGTGCATGTGTGCGTGTGTGTGTGTGTGTGTGTGTGTGTGTGTGACACACCGGAACCTAAGCCCTGGCTCTACTGCAGTCCGGTGACAATTCCAGTGACACCTTACAGCACAACTGGAGTGGCTTTACCAAGGGCATTTTGCATTCTCAAAATACTGGGAATGCAAACGCAGGTGGGAAAAAGCAGAAATTCAAGTACAGGCTTGCTTCCCATCGCACCTGGCTGAGCATCATTTAAGACGGGAAACCGATGGTTTTCCTTACCAAGACTGGCCTCGCGAGCAGCCCTTCAGTGGCCACTGGGCAGGCACTAGTTTCTCAGGCCACTGTGAGTCGGGCAGCTGGGTAATAACGGCAGGTTCTGAACCCGACTCTCTCCCTCATTTGAAAAAATGAGGTAGCACGTCACCTTCAAAATAAAGGAACAGAAATCCCGTGACTGATGCCTACCCTGCTCATGAGTCGCCTCCGGTTTCCTTCCCCACAGGAAATACATATAAACACACGTGTACATACAGCCACTTAGATCTTAACGCCCCTTTCATCTCAAAAGATCCACAAGAGTTAGAGAATTACTGAGTGATGGCTAATCTTGACTTAGGCAGACATGGGTTCAAAGTCCCGGACTCACTACTGTGATTTCATTCAAGTTACCTCACTTCTCTGTGCCTTATTGTTCCCATCTGTAAAATGGGGGTTGCGTAACAATCAGCATTGATGGGCTTACGGTATGTAGGGCACTACGCCCAGCATTTCACGTGAACCCTCCCTGACAGGAATGACCGCTCCTCACGCCGCAGGCCAGGGCGTGGGGCCGAGAGGGAGTAATGAACTTGCCCCCCGTAACAGTGCTGAGATCCAGGTGGTCCGCCCGCAGCTCTCGGGTTCAATCTCTACGCTTTAATTTCCCTCCAAAAGGAGCCGCTTTTGCCACTGTGGTGAGGAGTAAATGGCACCTAACTGTCAAACTGCCGCAAAGCCAGGGCACCGGCATGTGGTCAACACCTCTGCTATCACAGGCCCAGCCAGGGCGGTGGGTTTTGTAATTCAAATTTTTTCAAGAGAGAATTTCCAAGGGAGTAAAAAGACAACCCACAGAAAATCTAATAAGGGTTTATTATCCAGAATATATAAAGAATTTCTAAAACTCAACAACAAAAAATAAACAACCCAATTCAAAAATGGACAAAGGACTTGAATAGATCTTTCTCTGAGCCTATATTATCAGTGGCCAACAAGCATCTGGGAAAAAATGCTCAACATCACTGTTCAGTAGGGAAATCCAGTCAAAACCACAGTAAGATACCATCTCACACCATTAGCACAGCTATCATCAAAAAAGGCAATCAACAGGAAAACAAGTGCTGGTGAGGATGAGGAGGAGCTGAAACCCCTTGTGCAATGCTGGCGAGAATGTCGAATGGCGCAGCCACGGTGTTAACCAGGATGGAGGTTTCTCAAAATATTCAACGTGGAATGACCATGCGACTGAGTAACCAGGCGTGTGCCCGCCGAAGCTCGTCGCAGCCCCATTCATATGGCCAGACGGTGGCAGCAGCCCAGCACCAGCAGATGAATGGACAAAGTATTTACAGTATCACTCAGCCTTAGAAGGGAGTTCGTGACATGGTACAACAGGCACGGGCCTTGAAGATCCACTTATTACGCAGAGTGAAATAAAAAAGCCAGGCACCAGAAGACATACACTGTCTGATTCCAGGAGAGGAGGGACCTAGAATAGTCAGACTCAGAGACAGAAAGTGGAATGGTGGCTGCCAGGGACTGAGGGAGAGGGGAAGGGAAGCCAGTGTTTAATGGGAGCAGTTTCAGTTTGAGAGAAAGAAGTGCTGGAAATTGATGGTGGTGATGGTCACATAACAATGTTAATGAACTTAGTGCCACTAAACTGTACACTAATAAGTGGCTAAAATGGTACGTTTCCTGTTTTACAACAAAGAGAAACAAACAAAAAGACGGAAGCGTGGTTCACGCCGTGCCTGGCAGGTACGCTGGGAAGCCCGCTCCTAGCCTGACACCCACCTGGGGACACCCCCGGCTCCGAGCGTCACAGCCCGGCCCACAGCCGCGCCAGCTGAGTCGGCGTGCACCATTCCATCTAAGTGTGCACTGTGGCTGTGGAGCTGCACAAAGGAAAAAACGTTCGCTTCCCTCTGGATTCTTTTCACGCGCATCACGATCTGCAAACTGATATGCCTGGCCTGGCTGTGTGCTCTCTGCTGGCCAAGGGACACAGTCGAGAGGTGGCAGGAAGGAGCTGCGGCCGAGGCTTGGCCTCACTATCCAACGGATTCCGGGCGGTAACACCAACACACGCAGGCACGTAGCGCTTAACCCAACTCCTCGGGACTGAAATACAAGCACTTTTTCTCTTTCAGTTAGAGGAGTGAGAGGGAGGGGACAGGAAGGGATTAATTTAAACTCTTACAAAGAAAAACTAAAATCTTTTTCTTGTTCTAAGAAACTTACATTTACCATCTTGTTCCCACAGCCAAGTCATTTCTATTAGCGCTTAGTTTACTGCGGTTACAGAAAGGTTGGGTCAAAGCTTGAAATAATAAAATTCTTTCTTAACCAACAATTTGGAAGTGGGTCCTACAAGCCTGGAAGCTGAACATTCTGTCCACTTGATTTCCGAATAACCAAATTCTCTTAAGGAATGTGTCAAATCTATCCTAAGTAACCCAGGGCTGGAACGTGTCAGCCGAAGTGGCGGAGCTGCAGAAAAACACACTGGGATTATTTAAATCCTGAGAAGAAAAGGACAATTGTTCCTGTGCCACTCTACAACTAGATGTGGAGCAGAACTTGGTAAACAAGATTTCATCACAGTAAAATATGCATTTTCATATGACTGTGGAATTAAAACATTTTAAAGATCATTTCTGCTACAGCTACTTGAGCTATCACCCATTCGAGCCGATCACACTGAGAAAAGAAAAAAAGATAAAAGGACACAGAACGAACATGAACAGACCATAGCTTTATTGGAGATTTACTTGGCTACAATTATTTAAAAAAAAACAAACAACAACAAAGAGCTAAAAGCCGTTGACCCATAAGGCGCGACTGCACATCTCTGCTGCTCGGCTGCGGTTCGGATGGATCCCACTGTGTTCCAGAAACGGCTGCAGCTGGGATGGCGAATATTCTGTTGTCAGTCAAATTACATGTGAGTTTCACTTGAGTTTAGTCATTTTCCTTCACTCTATTTACAGCAGGAAAGCCAGAAATGTTACTTTCCGTTCACCTTTGCAGTTCTGCTATGTGACCTGCTGCCGTGGTGAATTCTGAATACACCTACAAAATTTAAATCGTCTGTGGTGGATGTCCAAATAAAAATAGACTGCAAAAAAAAGCAATTGATGATGAAAACATATTTACAAGTTAGTTTTGCAAGATCATTTTCACTGCCAGTGGAAAATACAAGAGCCTCAGTGCAAATCCCCTGGTCAGTGCTACTGGCGTTTCCAACAACTTTTAAAATCACTTTCATATTCTCGGTCTTCAACACATCTTCAAAATTTTTCATGTACAATATAAAATAAAGACATTTATTAGGAAATAATTAAACTCCCGAAAGGTAATCAGTGGTTGGAAGAACACACCTGGCTGAATGTGACGGAAGGAACCGCGCGGCTCACAGACACGACACAGACGTCCCCGTGGGGAACACGGGCAGGGAGGGACCCGACATCGCTTCAGACGCAGTTTCAACACAAACATCACGGGGTCAGTTTGGTGGCTACGGTTTTGTGTAGAAGAATTAGACGCTCCAACAGGGCAGGATATAAAGTTTTAAGTGCACTGGGCCGTAAGACTGAGCTGCGGTAGGTCTGGACGGGCACCGCCCTCCGCAGCCACCGTCCAGGCGCAGGGAACGCGGCCGACCGCCAGTGAGTGGCTGCATTTATGAGCCGAACCAATGGAACCGAGGCAGCCTCGGGTCTCCTGCGACTTAGGCAGGGCAGTCTGAATCTGTCTGAGGGTAAGCTGTTATTAAGAAAATAAAAACATTAGTATTTTAAAAGGTAATTACAGGAGTGTTAGAGTTCATTCTAAATTTAATCACTTCACATAATGTAAAAGAAAAAAGTAACAAACATTTTTAAAACATAATTAAGGGTTCAGTTAACAAATCTTTGTCATACTTTCACAAACAGTAAAAATGCCAGACAAAAATGATCTATTTAAGTTGTGCAAGTACATGACACATTGCAGGCATTACAATTATCTCTTTCCGATTCGGTAAATCAAAACAGCAGCGAGGCCAAACCCCATTCTTCCTCTCAGTGAAGCCCATTTTCCTTGAAATGAGGTAAAGCGTGGTACCAAGTGCAATGCTCATCTGTGCTACATGAACAGAAGGGCGGGGGGGCCATCACAATACAAAACGCAGCATAGTTAGGACGGCTGAAGGTACATTACAAAAGAAATAAAAACATTTACAATGAAGGTCCAGGCCAACCAACCCCCACACAATCATCATGAGGAATTTCTGTAGCTGCTTTTCAAGACAGGCTGCGCCGGCCCTTAACAGGGTGCTGGCGCACGAGGACACCCCGCGGGCGGGACTTCCGTGTTACATTCAGTCGCACATCTCGGTCACAGGACAAAGGGATGGCACAGTTGGAAAGTGGGGCAACACAGAGTGATTTTTCCCCCTTAATTAATGGACACAAAACATTTCAACAAGCTAAACTGGGGAAATCTGTACAGCATTAAAGTCAGCAGCACAAAAGCGTTCATAACCATTTCATAGATCTAACTCGTAGCTTTTCATTTTTAACTTAGTAACCAGGGGATCATAGGGTGCTTCAAAGTATGAGCCACAAATTAAAATCAGCTACTTTTCTCCAGCAGAAAGAGAGAGAGAGAGAGGGAGAGAGAAAGGGAGAGAGGGAGGGAGGGAGGGAGAATGGGAGAAAGAGAAAAGAGAAAGAAATAAGTTTGCTGTTGATAAAATATTTTGAATGGTAGTGGGAAATTTGAACCCCTGAGAATGCATGACCTAATCATATCGAAGTCTGAACTTTTTAGTATTAACAAAAAATACTCTTCTGAAGGTTACAAAATATATTGAGGCATTTTCTCCCAATGGGAATTGTAACTGTGGACCAATCTGGTTTTGGTGCCAGGAGGCGAGAGGATCCCTTCACACCGGGACTAGTGCATCAGGCAGAGCGCAGAGCCCTAAGCTCCTGGCGGCAGGTAGTTTATACATTATTCGGAGATTTGTGATGTAGCTTCATCACAAATCACCCTCATAAGTAAAATTCACATCCAGCCTTACTATTCATTGTACAAGCTTACAGTTATATTATTCAAGAATTGCTTGGTTTTAACTTGCCAGGAGATCTTACATTGAGATATTTAAAAAAAAGAAAAAGAAAAGAAATCTATGTTGCCAAATCAGAATTCAGTATTTTAAAAATAAGTCCACCCAAATTAATTTGCTCGAAAACTCATGTAATAATTTAGGCCCACTCCAATGTAAGCATGAGACTGGAGAGGACAAACGCCAGAGAGGCCTCGCGTCCCCGGCACTCAGGTCTCCTCGGAGGGTGAGGCTGACAGTTTTTGGACGGTGGACATGCAGAGGGGCCCCCCTGGGGTGGGTGGGGTGGGCAGAGTGAGGGGTACAGTGTCCAGCTGCATCTACAACGCGAGCGCAGCGCCGCGTGAAGCATCGAGTTTGGAACAGTGGGTTAGAAAATGTCAGACACCTCTGCCCAGCGTCCTTTAACTTCAAGCGTCATTACTGGGGGGCAAACTGCGGCAAACCTCTACTGGTATGTTGGTGGGAGTGCAAGACTGACCCACAGCTTTTATAAAGGTAAATTAAGAGGTATTATAGGTACAGTGCAAAAAAAAATTAAAACTTCAAGCATAACACATAAACATAGCACCAAACAGGGAAACGCGTGCCACAGGAAAGAAGAACTGAGGTATTCAAGTGAAGAGTGCCAACTGGTCTAATTAAAGGGACTCAGGCAAATGCCTAAGAATGTCTTTTTTTTCCTTTTTCGAAGATGGAAATCACGAGCTAGTTTACCTAAATTAACGAGCTAAGTCACAGATGTATCAAAATCACGGCAGTTTATCGCGAACATGAACTTTCACGGCATGAAAAGCACAGCTCTGGCAGGTGAAATACACATGCGACGCTGTGGAAAGTACAGGAAACTTACGTGAGAAGACTAAGGGTAAAGGTGCTGGGTTTTGCTTCTTTAAATAAGTAACCAATGATTATAAAATCTGCAGCATATTTTAGGTGTGATATGTCTAAGGTTTATTTTGTTAGAGAAACGGCCTACAGGGCAAAACTATTTGCCACGAACCATTTCCATCAGTGGAACTACCTAGTAGGAGGGTTTTCTTTTTTTTTTAGTAAAATTGGGTATTTAGCCAAAGATCATTTTTATCATGGTGTGTTAAAAAATCCATCGGCTACAGATTCTGGTTTTTAAAATGTTTTCAGTACACGTGACAGAACCCTTAACATCCTGTTTTAACTTAAGTTACAACTACACTAGTGAGTTGTGAGTATCACGCTGTCTCAAAATCTAATGCATAACAAAATAAAGGGAATGTAACATTAGTTTGTTCCAAAAGAGATCTGAAATTAAAGACTATCCATGAGGATATAACTTTTAAGGCAAGAACCTTTTTTATGCAAGACTATGTGGCATGAGAAAACTAAAACTGGACCGACCGAACTGCCAGCCAATGTGCACCGAAATCTGTCCCTCACTGCCAAGTGCACCAGCGCCGGGGAACGTCAGCCTACAGACGGAGCACGGAGACAAAGACAACACGGGCAGGCTGCCCTCGGCTCGCAAACCGCAGCCGCCTACCGGGCTCCCCTGCGGGGTGAGGACTGAGGGCAGCGCGGGGCTCTAATATCACTCTAGGGACTGTCTGGGGTTGCAGCTCCGTGGCCTCCTGACACTAAGCAACAGTGACAGAAATCAAACTAAAAACAAAACAAAAAAACCCAAACCGTCAATAATTATTTTGAACACTTGCTAAACATCATCATTAAAGCACTCTTGTGATTTAAACAAAGCGGAAGTGAGGAAAGAAGACAAGATTGTGTTTGCGCAAAAAACTAAAACTACAATTAGTTCCAAAGATTTTATACACATGTTAAATGTTTTATTCTGTAATCTATCTTGTTATCAAACAAACTTTAAATTCTGCCTTCAATTCGTTCCGCTCAGTTATCAACTTTAAAATCATCCTTTTCGATTTAAATATTTCCACCTTAATTCTGCCTTTTAAAAAAATTTTACAAAGGGGTTTCAGCTGAGGTTGGGAACCTGAGGTTGACTAGCTTTGAGGCTTCGCAGGGCCCTCCTCGCCGCCGCGGACTTGGCGATCCTGTAACTGCGGCCAACGCCTTTAAACTTCCCCTTGCCGACCACTTCCACAGTGACTCTGACCTTGCCGTCGTAAGTTCTCTCGGCCGGGCTGTGAAGAGGCCAGACAGCTTGGATTAGCAGTCAGAAGTATTTATTATGACTGTCAGTCAGCACCGAGCGCGCGCTCTCTCGGCCGAGAGCCCGTGTGCAGGCCGACGCCACACAAAGGAGACGCGCACCACGACTCTCGGCGCACCAGCGCGGACCGGGCTCCCGCCCCTCCCCCTAATTCAGCATCGCTTTATGAAAACAAAGAGAGGAGTCAATCAGACACAAGTGGAGACTGCACGAGAGCGTGCCCCAGTGTAAATATTTTTCAGAATCATTCGTTCACGGCATCTTTGAGAACTCCCCCCGCCTCGCTCTTCAGTAAGTTAATTTTTTCCATGCACAATTTTGCTTACCTAAATTTGGCGGTTTCTGGTTCCATTTCAAGCAATTCTCGCACAGGGGAACGGGGCACATTTGCAGAAAATTTTTCTATAATCAAAATGAAAGAATAACGTAAATAATACCCTTGAAGTTGCTTCTAATTCCGACTTTGCTCCTTTCGAAGGGGAGCCGGCAGTACCTATTAGTGGCCGCATCATAGGGTAGTACACCCGCCACACCATCTCCAGTGACATCCCGCTGTCCATGTAGATGGCGCCAGCCAGTGACTCAAAAATGTCTCCCATGGCCTTTGGGACTTCAATGTCCTCTTCCTTCTCTTCGTCCTCCTCAGATCTCCTAAGCTATTACAGAGAGAAAAGCGACTTGTGAGCACCGGGCCATTTTTAAAAGCCGTCCGCGAGGTGTTGCTTTTCCTGGTGGCAACTCCCACGGCATCTGCAACAGAGGCAGCAACACCAGCCGTTCACCGCGCGCCCACTCTGCTGTACTGGGTTCTCTATAAACATTACTTATCTGACACTGAAAGGTGTTTTCAAACTGCTCAAGAAGAAACAAAAGAAAAAAAATCCCCTCCCATTCAGTGTTCAATACCCGACAAAGAAAAAAAGGATTATTTCTAAATAAACAAAAACAAAAACAACTTTTAACACAAAATTAGAAATAGTCAACACATATATTTTAAAAACTTTTCAAATTCACTCGCCACCAGAAACCTGTCCATTAATGATTCCACCTCCGGTGGCTGGGCAAGGACTGGGCAGAAGACCTCTGGCAGGGAGATGCCACTCAGAAGACACTCCCCTCCGCGCGCCTTCTTATGAAACACTTGATGCGTGTCCGCTGCGAGACGGCACCTGACCCGTCGTGGGCGTCCCAACTCCCAGAACAGACACTTGCATGTCTTTCGAAAGCCTTTTAAAGGTTCACAATTCTTTGACACAGCAATTCCACATCTGGAAATTTCTCTTAAGGAGGTAACTGGGTAAGTAAGAGTATTTATCGTAGGTTTATTAGAAGTCCTAACAAAAACCACAGGAGCATCCGGCCACCACGAAGGACTGGCAAGCACATCACATGACAGCTGTGCACTGACTGGCAGCGCGGAGTTGTCGTGGCGACGAGCGCCCGGACGGTGCCCACAATACGTGCAGAGAAAAGGAGGGTAAATCTGGGCTACTTCTCAGGCTGTACATTTGTGTCACTTTAATTTTCTGTTTGTTTATTTGTACTTTCTAAAATAAACACAAATTACTTGTGAAAGAGGAATCAAAAGCAGGGCGCCAGCAATTTCTAAACAGACTGTTCAGTGACACGAGGTTCTGTGGAACCTTTATGACGCCGACTACTGGGAAGAAGATCATTCTTGCTCCTAAGCAATAGTTTAAAACTTAGGAAGTTTAATTGTCTCCTCTTACAGATGAGGAAACTGAGGCCCAGAAAGGTAAAGAGATTTTTTAAAAATCAAATAGTAAATTAGAAAAGTCAGACCATGGCATTTCCAATCAGTCTTTGAAACTTCTATACCTGTTTCTATAAACAAAGGGAAGAAAAAGAATGACCAAAAATTAACAGAACCAGTCACTGAAAAGAATTTAAATCTAATTTTAGAGAATTCCTCAAACTCTAAGTTTCAAATACTCCCACGACACGGACCAGAACGCTGCTCTGTCTCCCCGTCTCCCCCACCCCCCCGCTCTCCCGTTACGGCTGACCGCCTTCCCGCACAGGTTCTACCCCTACGCACGCTGCCTGCCTGTGCTGAGGCCCCAGCACCGAGGCCCTTCGTTCTCACAGGGGGTCAAGAACATGCACTCAATCCCCAGCAAGGGTTTGATGCTTTAAAAAAAAAGGGAAGGTACAACTCAAAGAAAGAACAATTCAAACAGCTACCAGAGAAATTTATGAATGAATTCCTGAACCTCTTACAAGAAACCTACAAAAATAAGAAAAGCAGGAGGAGGAGCCAGGAAGAACGGGAGACAAGGGCGCTCTCCCGGGCACACACCTCCCGGGCACACACCTCCCGGGCCCACGGGTATGCAGAGATGGAGAGCGATCGGGGGCACTGGGAGCATCGAAGCAACACCCTTCCAGACAAAACCGCACAACGGTCCACACACTAGAGTTAGCTCTGTCAACAGAGAGCCTTTGGCTGAACTTACAGTAGAGGCCTCTCAAATTCCAACAGTTAAATGTAGAAGCTTGGTTTTTAATTGAGATCTTCCCACTTCCAGCAGAAGCAGAATACGTGCTTGTGCTGTCAACCTGAGACGTGAGCAAATACCCCCGACCTACTCTGAACAGCAAGGCAGAGCGGGTGAACACTGAGGAGCTCTGCCCTGGCTACCGTGGGGGTGGGGGCCAGGAAAGGCAGTGTCTGGCCGCTCTGGTCAGTCCTCCCCTCCCCCAGTTCCCCCGGGAACTACTCAGAGCTCAGGCGCCCGACTAAACTCAGATCTGCACACACTCCCCGGCAGCACTGACCTCGGAGTCCATCCCCTGCATCTCGTTCTTCTCGAGCTGGAACTGCACGAAGTCATCGATCACGTGGAAGAGCTCCGGGGACACGGCTTTGAAGTACTTGTGGTAGTCGTACTTCACGGCCAAGGACGCGAAGATGGTGTTGTTGACCAGGGCAGAGCGCAGGTCGGTCAGGACCCCCGGGGAGTGCTGCCGCGGGTCTTCGTAAAGGTGCTTGGTTATGAGGTAGTCCAAAATCGCATCTCCCAGGAACTCTAAGCGCTGGTAACAATCTGAGGGAGGAGCCAGAGTGGGGCCCTGAGCCCGGGCAGAACTACCCACACGGGCTCCACAGAGACACGCATAGGAAGGCCTGACCCCAGGGCCATTGAAGAGACTTTTATTTGGGTTTCATACATTTTCATAGATATTCTTCAATGACAAAATTACTTAACACATCATACTTACTAATGCCTCTGGCAATTAAACTTTGTTGGCGTATTAAGCACATTTCTCACATATATGTAAGTTGCGGTCATAAAAATCTTTAAGTGGCCCAAAGACAAATGGCTTATTAAGGAAAAAACCTCCCCCAGGTGACATCACAATTGCTGAGCCCCTTTCCTCTGGCACCGGGCTGGCCCAGCAGGTGCTGGACACTGTCCCAGCGCCCCCGCCACAAGCCGTCACGCCTGGGGGCCAAGCCCCGCACACACACCCCCACCCGCTGTGAACTTCGCAGCCATCGGCGTACACTGGCTCACTCACACCTGAATGTGTCTGAGTGACACCGGGCCTCGCCACACCTGGGTTGTATCTGTCACACGAGATGACAGTTAGCACCCTCTTCTCGACTTAGATTAGAAATATTGAATTTGACACTAACCAAGAGATTGAGAAAGAAGAGCTGCGAGAGTGAGCCAAGACCTTAAGCAAAAGCAGTTGGTTGTCAAAACATTAAAAAGTTATCAGTATTAACCAGAATCTAAATGTTCTCAGTGACTAAAGAGAGCCCATCCAACTGAGGAAACTGAGGCAGGGACAGATGAAGTGACTTGGCCCAGCATCCCCAGTGATTTAAGAGGAGGGGGCAGAGACCGGCTAGAAACCAGACCTGACCCCAGGACGGTGCAGCAGACGACCACCCTCATTTCTGCTCCACCAGGAAAACAGGTTTTCATCTCACCTGTCTGTCTAGTCCAGAGTGGGGTCATTTTTCACCTTTCGGCTCTACATTTTTCAGACCACCTTAATCTACATTGTTTTTCTTATACAAACTTTACACTTTGCTTTGGGACCCTGGATTCGAGCCCTGGTTACTCTGATACAGAAAAAATACGTTGACTTTAGCTGTGTTTCCCAGGCTGAAGGCAGCGTCAGTTCTCAGGTGCCTCCCCCTTCACGGCTAACGGAGGGGGGCCTACGCAGGCGAGGAGGGCAGACACGCAGAGGAGCTTGAGCCAGAGTGGGAGACGACGGCCCTCAGAGCCGGCCGTGAGCCCTCCTGTGAATCTGATAATCTATTCGTCTTTAGATGTAGAAAGACCTCACAGAGGGGCCTTTTTGTTCAGGAAGAATGATGAAAGGATGGGGAAATAAACCAGAATCCCCAAAGAAACCAAGGACCAAAGGCGGCACTGTGCAGGCTGCAGAGAGAGCCTGGGGTGGGTGGGCCACGGCAGGGAGAGCACAGGGCGCGCTGCAGCCCTCCCCACGCCCTCCTGCCCTCCCCACGCCGCGTGCACAACCGCGCACACGGAGAAGAGCTGTCTGCTGGACGGTCAGAGGAGCTGCACATGCTCTCAAAAAGGGGAGGAAAGGGAGGCTTCTTTCATTTTGCGTTGCTTCCTCCCCTGACCGTGCGTCTTAAGCACTAAGTCTGTACCTGCATAGACCACTTTTTTACAAGGCCAAACACTGCGACTAACGTGCGGTCTAATTTTCAGAGAAACGAGGTGGGGCCCGGGGCTCCTTACCAGTAATGGTATTGTAGTGGTAGGAGGCGTGTGTGAAAGCCTGTAGAAGGTAAGCCTTATTCTTGAATCTGTAGTTGATTTTCCTTTCAAAATTTTCAAAACCGGATATCAGGTGATTCAGTGTTTTATCTGCATCCGGATGATCAAACATGCACCTCGGCGGAATCTTCAAACAACCATACTCCGAGTCTTTAAACACAGAGGAGCGGGAGCTGGCCGCAGAGGCAGCGGCACGGCTTCCTGAAAGGTTCTTTTGTTGGCTGTTGGAATTCTCCCCGGCGGGGCACACGGCCTTTTCCCGATCAGTCCTTTTAATTACCGGGAGCACCTTCAGCCCCAAGGAGCAGAGGAAGAGCTGCGCAGCCCTCTCGCCGCAGCTGGTTAAGTAGCAGCCCAGCAGGGCTTCCACGCAGTCGGCTATGCTCTTGTCAGCGATGCACTGCTCGGTGTGCAGGTCATAGGAGATGGACTGCTTCCCCGCCTCGGCGCCGCAGTTCTCCTCCGATGGGCTCCAGAACCCCACCACGAAGTCGTCCTCCTCCACGGCCTTGCTGGGGTCCAGGTAGCACATCGCATCCCAAGAGCTATAGTCAAAATCCTCAAAGTCGGATGAAAACGGCATACTGCCTAAGGAGGATTTTTTGGGCATTTTCCATTCATAGGCAGAATCAGTGGTTGAAAAAGGAGAAAGAGGAATTTTCTTTACAAAAGCTCCAGACCCCATTAACATGTTATCTATGAACTTGATGTGCTCCTGATCGTACTCCAGGAAGTCATCTTCGTAATCGGCGTCCTCCTTGGGAGCCCTCCACGTCAGGCCCTCCTCCTCCTCCTCGTCTTCCTCAGAGGCCTCGCCCAGCTTGCCGTTAGCCAGCATGCAGTCCTTTGTCTGCAGGGAGGGGTGGGGAAGGAGAGGAGACATAGCTGCTGTTTTTAAAAGGGTCTGAGACTCAATAAAAGCGAGGGTTATGGATAATTTCAAATGACAACCACAAATACTAAAAGGCAACTTTAAAATCATGGCCATTTGTTTTCAATTAACATAAAATAAGTTATTTAATCACATAAACAAAGTAAAACGTTCTTTGAATGTTCATTTTCTAAGTTATAAAATGACCTTTATCCAGTATGAAGCTTTAAGTTGAGGGTTCTGTACATGGTACGAGAAGTTAACATAAATGTCCACAAAGCAAAGCTTCAGCTAAGAACCCCAACTCGGCGGCACAGACAGAACTCACTCACATGCCGATCAGAAAGGTCTTCCGTTTTGCTGACAAAGTTTTAAGAAGATTTTCAAATTAATAAAATTAAATTCCAGATGCAGAAAAAGCATTATCTTTGCAATTTGAAGTATAGTATAAAAACAGATAAAATTACTTCTTATACTTTGTAACATTACAAATGTGCAAGAGTTTCGTTAGGAAGTTTCTGTCCCTATTTCTACACAACAATAAAAATGTGTGACAGAGTTTGTGGTGAAGTTTCTGTCCTTGTTTTACTTCTACATTTGCTGTGATGTAAAACTAAATTGTGTTACTTGAAAACTAAAAGTGATCACTGAGCCTTTAAGCTGTGAATTTGAGAAATTATGCTTCTCCTCCACGGAGGTCCAGTAATCGGGGTAACAGTGTACAGCAGAACTGACAAAAATGGAAGAAAATCTAGACTAACAAGAAACACAACAATCCAATTTCCGTCAGAAGACCTTTGCTAATTCCAATTTCTTTGGCAAAAGCTTATTTGTGAATGACAACCTTAATAATGGGCTAGGACTCGGTAGTGATATAACTTTTTCTGCAATGCTACAAAGATGCCATATTTCCGTAGAGCAATAAAATGAAAAACAAACTAACAACCCCCAAGACTATACTTGGGGGGATAAGCAGGAGGGTGTGCTTCAATTTTAATACTGACAACTTTCCAGAGTACTGTGAAAAAAAAGTTTTCTAACTTTCTGTCAAGCACTTTTTAAATACCACATATTTTCATTTTAAGCCAGACTCAAAAGAGATACAAACTATAATTGTCTGAAAAGAAATAAGAGCCATAAGCCAAGCCTTACACCTATAACTACCTGTACTTTTTTTAATTAAGAAAGTTTATAAAACTTTCTCAAGAGTAAGGAAGTACGCCAAAAGAACAGCAGCAGGCGATCTCTAGGAGCTGCTTTCTTCCTGCTGCAAACCCTCTACTTTCCAGGTAACAGCAGATGGTTCTGACTGTTGTTTTGGTCCTTGGAGGAAAAGGCCAAATTTAAACACAATTTAAAAGAAAAAAGTCAGACTGAATAGGATTTTTAAAAGATTTTATTTTTTAAGAGACACAGGGATGGAGGGAGACATAGAGGGAGAGAAACGCCAATTGGCTGCCTCTCCCACCTGCCCCGACGTGGCGCTGGCTGCAGCCCGAACCCCGCACGTGCCCTGCCCGGAAGCAGAACCTGTGGCCTTGGGCTCTGCAGCACCATGCCCAACCCACTGAGCCTCGCCAGTCAGGGCAGAGACTGAGTAATCTTTTATTTAAAAAATCCTCATATATCTTTAGTGAGATACTAACGTAAACTATAATTGGCAGAGCACAAAGAAAAGGACCGGATTTTATCAAAAATAAGCTGTATGATCTTGGACAAAATTCTTAAGTCTCTGGGTTTAGTTTCTTTATCTGCAAAACTGTGGAATTCTACCTCACTAAACAGTTTCCAAGAGCACTTCGAGTATTTAAAAAATAAAAACCAGCATGGAATTCTTCTCTTATGGTTCCAGTGAGCTCTCTACCGAAGCCATCACCACCTCTGGCGTCGGTGTGTAACGCCCACTGAGCCCTGCTGGTAGGAGGCAGGCAGGTGGGACAGGAGCGGGTTCAGCATATGCGTTTCAATACCATGCAAGAGCCTATTTCAGTGACTATAAATTATCCAGTGGAAGAATGAGCAGTGTTTTAGTGTATTCGAAGAACCACAGTGTCAGTTCATCTGAAAGGTCAAGAACTGTGTGCACAATCTCTAAAAAATTTTTAAAATCAAAATGACTTGTTGATGCCAACTTTATGCTATATTTGTTTTTTTCAAGAGTCAATGATATTATGAAACAGTATTCGCAAGGCAGGATACATGTTTTACTAGAATAATTTTTGTAAAAGTGTAGTATTTTCTCTAGAATTCTCAGAATCTATACATTTTTTTCCTAAGGTTCCACCTAGTTCTATAGTAATGACAAATGTACTTTTTATAACCCAACTTGCACTAAAACACTTTATTTCTTCTCCACAGAAGTTTAATTTCTATAGTAAGTCAAATACTGCATGACTTAAAAATATCCTCAGTAAAGAGGCAGAAACCCAAATAGAGCCATAAAGCACGCAGCCTGGAAACACGTAGGACAGCTATCTAGGACATGCATGTCAGGAAGATAAGAACATGTACAGTTAGAAAATACAACCTGTGAAGGAAATGGTATTTTCGTTGTTGGCCTCAAGTAAAAATGAAGTAACAGCAAGCCAGTTTATCCCTAGCACAAAATAAATACCCAGGAAAGCGAAGTGCCCAAGACTGCCCCTCCCCTCGGAAGGGGCCCTGGACTGCTCTGGCCAACACCCGGACTGACAGCGCAGCACCAAGGCCCTCTGCGGTGCCCCCTGGTGGCCTTCAAGACGAGACACCATGAGCAGCTGCAGCTAACATTTGGAGTCTTCCGCAGTCACTGGCAAGACCGAAACTACTTCCGGAAAACTGCAACCTCTAGGTAGGGGGACTTATTTATTACTAGTTTTAGGTCACAAGAGGAGAAACAGTCCCAAAAAACCCTGAGCTGCCAAAGCAGACTTTACTGGTATTTCACTATTTCACGGACTGGAGAGAGCAGCTCATTGGAAAGTCACTTCACTGAGCAGAGCTGAGGATCTGTTACAAACCATGGTACATAACAGGAAAGTGAAATGTTGTAGGGTTTCTCTTTTTCTTCTTGTTTTTGAACCATAGCATCAGATACTCTTCGCCTCTGGCAAACAAGATAAATAGAAGTTGTCTTCCATCAAAATTGCAAGAGTGGTTGTAAATTCAATGAAAAGACAGTCTATTTATAGAGCTATTAACTCAATATATCAAATATCTACTCAATTATAAGCATAGCAAGGAAAAGAAGTAATGAATTAATAGAACAAAATTCTCCCCATCACCAAAAAACAACTCCTTCCAGTTACCAAAAACTTACCATTTCATCTTTTTCCCATTTATCTGTGTTACTTTTGTCTTGATTTACTACATAACCAGGAGGAAGCCAGTTCACAGGGGGATCAAATATCGACACCACCATGCGGCTGGGCAGTCCCTTCTTTTTTCCGAGCCGATAGAGATTACAGTTGCTGACCTTTAGCAGAAAAATTTGTAAGGCACTTACTATAAATGATCAGTCCTGAATTCATACAAGGCATATTAACATGTTTTCACCAAAATTACTTTAACTAGTCCTCAACTGTAAAGACTGGCAGAAAATACTAAGTTCTGTATTCTTTAGTGTAGTTAGATGACTACTTCTGAATATTAAATGCAGATCAGAACAAAACTGATACACACACACACACACACACACAAATTCCTTGTAAAGTCAGAAGGGTTCAATTTCAACATTTTGAAAGCATGACCTGATGATATAAAATCAAACTGCTAATTGGGGCTATCAGAAAAAGATGTGTATAAAGAATCCAAGATGTCACAACATTGCCAATGAAATAATGTATAAACTGGCACTGAACAGAGCGAAGATAATTTTATATCGCTAGAACCTAAGCCACAAATATGACTTCAACTGCAATGTTTTCCCAAACACAGTTCTTTGTTTTGGATGGTATTTCAAGGCAGTTTTGTTCACCCATCTGAAAATGGAGCAAAGGGCAATCAGTGACCACTCCCCCATTAACTACTTGTCAATGAACACACACTCCACTCTGCTTTCCCTAAGGCCTCGCCTCCTCCCTAATTTACTCAAATCAATGCATTTCCGTCTCATTTCTGCTTGGACACTAGTGTCTAGAACTGCGAACCTCATTTTGTTTTCTAAAAACTGGGTTTTCTTTTATTTAAGTACTGCATGAGCCCTCTCCTCCCCACCCCCAGCCCCTGTAACGCCATCCCTGGGACGAGCGCCCACCCCAGGAGAGGCCCAGGGTCAGGCATCCCTTAGAGAGCGAAGTCTGAAAAGGGCAGTGGCACCCACCGACACTCACCGCGTGCCAAGGGGCTTTCCCATGCTGAGACCTAACAGCTCAAACGACGCTCGTTTCCTGTTCCTGAGAGGATCAAGTGCAATAGGGACTCAAGAGGGATAGAATCACAAAGTTGACAGAATGGATGGCAGAATAGAAAAGGAAGAAAGAACTAAGGACTTATATGAAGCTCCACGTGGGCCGAGCAGAATTCCACAGAGAAAGGGGGTGAGCTCTCTGAGAAGAACACAAGGGCCAGGGGAGGAACAAGGGCGTCAGCCAGACGACCAGGCAGACTCGACTGGGGTTGAGCGCCCTGAAAGGCCTTACACCAGGTGGAGGGAGGGAGAGGGTTCCTGCAGGAAACAGGAGCCAGAGCTTTCTGTGCAGGTGAGTGGATGAGTTTTCGAAAGCTACAGGAACGTCCTTCTTGTCCTTCTTCCCTTACAGAGCGTACAGACTGCTCTCTCTGGCCATTCAGCCTCTGACACTGCCTTCCTGCGGCCGCCCCGGGAAACCTCGTTTGCACTCAGAGCTTCAGATATCACCCGTATGAGGACTCCTCCCCCAAACCGTGTCTCTATCCAAAATTCTCGGCTACCGGAATGTTCTACTTCATACTTCACGGGGTCTAAAAACCCAACCTGAACCCTAACTCATACATTTCTGTCTACCCCACCCCAGCCTTCTGGTGTACATGGCTGTCTTTCCTGCACACTCCCCCCACCCCCGCCCGGTCTCTCTGCCTCCCAACCACACCAGGAGGCAGCAAAGCAGACTGAAGGGCATGGGCTCCCGTGCTGGACACACTCTCCGACTACAGCAGACTGGCTAGATGACCTCGTGCGAACTACTTCCACTCTCTAGGCAGTCTCTTACCTGTAAAACGGGGACATGCCATCTACCTCTCAGGGGCTTGCTGGGTAGATTAAGGGAGAAGACCTGGGAAATGGCCAGGGCAGTGCCTGCTATTACAGGGTGACATCCCTGTAATGGTAGTCTGCTACTACCATTACGGGGTGAAGAGCAAGGTCTCCAAAGCCAGGCTGGGCTCTGCTACCTCTTTGCCGTGGGACCCTGGGCAAGGTGACCTCTGCTGACCCAGCACAGGAAGGAGAGCAGTGTCTGGCCAGAGTGAGCACCTCCTAAGTGCTGGCTACAACTATGATGCCCCCAGCCCCTCCCTTACCGCCACAGCCCAGGTCTATCACAGTGTCTGCTTGAGCCTGGACTTTTTCAGAGCCTACCTGGTTGCTCAGCTGGGGTTGGTCTTGCTTTTCAACTCACACTGCATTCTGCTACTAGAGCGATCACTTAAAGCCACCACTTTAGTCCCTTATGCAAAAATTGCCTTTGACACTCAACGGCGCCAACAACTTTCAAAGTGCAAACTCCCTTGCCTGGCATGGAAGACTTCCCACAATACGGCTTCAGCCCACCTTGCTTTTCAAGTCTTTTTTTCATAAATGCCTACACTTCTGCTGCTGCCACATGCGGTTCACCAAGAGCCAACAAGCTCCGCCACTTGTCCCTTCCACGCACGCACCGTGAACCCACCTCTTCTGCTCACCCCTGCCCTGAGTGCCGAGGGAACTGGCAGCTTTCTAAGTTACCTGTTAAGCAGGTACACGCTGCCTCGTGACACCTCTTTCATCATCATTAAATATTTCACCCTCATTACTTTTCTTCCTCAAACCCTGATTCCACACTAAATGTAAGCAGCTGCCCTTCCTTTGGGTTCTCAAGTGCTGCTCACTCAGAACCCTGGGCTCAGTCTCCTTAGGCTGCAGTCACAGGCCTCGGGCAAGGCCCTGCCCTCCCCCACCCCTGGCTCCCCGGAGCCTTGAAGATGACCCACTCCAGGAAAGCCCTGGGTCCTGCCCATGCTCGTCCGCCTGGTACGCCAGGGCAGCATCCTCCCAAAGAAGTGATCGAGGGTTAGAAATAATGGAGGCACACACACGTCAGCTGGCCCCCACACCTGAGGGCGTCACCGGTGAAACAGACCTGCGCCAATTCCTGGGTGGCTCCACCACAGGCTGGAGCTGCCCAGGTCAGGTGTGGCAAGCCCTGAGGTTGACCCTTTCCTCATCCTCAGAAACCATCCAATCCTTTAAAGCAACTTAGGCGCCCTGGAAAATTCCCCAACTGCTCAGAGCAGGAGAACACCGCCCTACCTTCTTGCTTCTCATGTAGGAAAGGCGGCCCTCGTGCGCGTCGGGGTAAGTGCAGAACAGGTAGGTGGTGATGGCGTGCTTTAAAAAGGAGTCGCCGAGCATCTCCAGCCGCTCCAGGTTGAACCCATCGCTGGCATTGGAAAGGGTCAGAGCCTGAAGAATGAGTCCGGGGTTCGGGCCGAGAGTCCTCGGGGAGTACCCGGGAGGACTCCGCTCAGGGCCTGTCCCGCCTTTGAGGACCGCGGCAGCTTCCGGAGCACCGGGCACTGCGGCCGCCACGGGACTGCCAGCTGAGGTAGATGAGTTAGCGTTTCCATCAAGGTATTTGTTACTCAGTAGAGTACATTCATCGCTGGGCGTGGGCTGGTTCTCGTAAGTGTATAAATTTTGAATGGGATATGAGGTAGTTGGTTGTACAGGTATTTCCTGCTTGTAGCATTTCAGCTGATTTCCTTGGCAAAAGTCGCTGTTAGCTAAGTCATAACTGCCATTGGCAAGATTTCCGTTGTAAGAAAGACCATTAATTGCTGTCGGATCTGTTGAAACTTCAACTGGGAGTCGACCGGATGGCTCACCGAAGAACGCGCTGCAGCTCACAGACATTTGGTCGGGATCTTCTGGAGAGGAGGCTCTATTAGCACCTGGATGCGCAGCATTTTCAGGGACGGTTGTGCTGGGCTTGCAGTAATTATCGTTTTCAGCTGGAGAGGAGTCAGCGATTGAGATGAAAGACCTGCTGTCGATGGATTTTTTCCACCCGAAGTCTAAGTTAGGGTATCTGCGAAGACATTTTTGTAAGTTTTCATCAGATCCTTCCGAAGGGCTAGGCTTAGAGCAAGGGTAATTAGAATTAAAACCAAATAAAGATCCGTATAAAGACACTCTGACTTGGGAAGGGAGGCCAGTTTCCAGAGCAGAAACCAGCACTGCTGGAAGTCTGCACAAGGAGGCCCGTGGCGGTGTGGGCCTGAGGGGCCTGGGACCCCAGGCCCTCTGCTTAACTGGCTGGGTGACTCTGGGCAACTTCCATAACCTCTCTGTGCCCGAGCTTCCTACTTGAAAGAAAAGCTAGCAGCAATTGCTACCGTTATAAAGTTTCTCAACCCCTAGGACCGTCTTGGTCTTGCCAATTGGACAATCAAAAGTAACTGGAGTGGTTCCTTAGAATGCAGAGACTTTACTAGTGGAAAGAAAATAATGAGGATGAAGCGGGTTTGGGGGCGATCGCTTTTCAACACGCAGTGGACTCTGTAAGAGGAAGCCGCCTGAGCATCATCACGATGACAAAGGCCTGTTTCCACTTCCACTCCAGCTGCCACCGCTGAGGGCGGGATGATCAATTTCGGTCTGAGTACGTCACCTCCCTCTGCGAATTTACCAGACACAGGACTATGCAGATTTTCCCTTAGGAATCAAAGGACGCATTTATCTTATGTACTAGATATCCACTTTAAAGGATCTTTTAAGAACCAATTCATTTAAAATTAAAATTTTAACTTCCTCCCATTGCTTCGCTCTCTCTGGCCGCCACCACGGGCCTACCGAAAATCCACAGGAAGCGACCGGACGCCCACGCCAGCGTCGCTGGCCGTCTGGGCTCGCAGCTCCTCCGCGGTCAGAAGGCAGTGAAGGCGATAGAGTATGCTGGGGAGGCAGACTGCTTTTCTCCACAGTGATGCTGGGATGGGGTGTATAGCACAGAGTTCCGGAACCAGGATCTGGGAAGGCGAGAAGATGTGAGCGGATAAACTTCAACCGAACACAAAAGGACAAAAAACAAAGACAAAAATCGTAAGTACTAGCAAAATTGTATTTTTAAGAACATTAAAAAATAACTCCTGAGGGCCACATGGCATCTTCGGATTATAAGGATGATCTCATGATACAACTGTGTCAGGGGACCAAACAGAGAAGCGAAACTGATGGCTGCCAGGCAGGAAGGGGGTAGAGGACTGAGTGAAAAGGTGAAGGGATGAAGAAGTACCAACTGGTGGTTCCAACAGTCATGGGACGTCGAGTAAAGCAGAGGGAGTACAGTCCGTAATACTGTGATAAACGTGTGCGGCGTCAGGAGATCCTGGACTCACCGGGGGGCTCCTTTCTAAGTCAGATGAATGTCTAGCCACTATGCTGTACATCTGAAACCAATGTCAACTGCAACCTTAATTTTAGCCCTGGCAGGGGTGGTGCAGTGGACCAAGTGCCGGCCTGCAAACCAAAGGGTGGTCGGTCTGACTCCCAGTCGGGGCACAGGCCTGAGCTGCGGGCCAGGTCCCCAGTGCGGGCGTGAGAGAGACAACCACATCGTTTCCCTCCTCCCTCTGTCCCCTCTCTCTAAAAATAAATAAATAAAACCTTAAAAATTAAGAAAATACTTCCTAAAAATAATCCTTGAAGGCCAAATGAGATTTATGCTAGGATTTATCAGAGTGATTCCATGATATAATTGTATCAATGGACTGATTATAAAAGCTGATCCACTCATACTTATCAAAAAGACGAGATAAATCAACATGTAATATCAATTAAACCAAAACAAAACCCAAGAGTTGGGCAGTTTCCAAAATGTCTGCCAGTCTCTTAGTTCACTTGGTACTATAAACTCAAACTTATCTTTAAAAATACGACGTTACGCTAATGACCATCGGCTCGTCACCTGTTTGTTCTGCAGACTCTCCCACTTGGCTTTCCTCTTCTCAGCACTGCTCAGAGGGAGGGCTTTCCCTTTCTGATTCAAGTGGCGAGGTGTCAGCAGGTTAAGTCTGTAAAGATTCCAAACTGATTTTATCCAGCAGACAGGAACGAGCACGTCTGCACAGCGATTCTCCAACTTCGGTGTGCCTGCAAACCCCCGCGGAGCCCACCTAAACCGCAGGCCCCCGGACCACACCCTGGGGACTGGGTGGTAAAAACTCTGACTCAGAGCCTACAGGTGGGCAGCAGAGACAGTGAGCCCCTGCGTGTGCCTAGTGACCTCTGGGAAAACGCCCACAGGAAAGCTCCTTACCTTGAAGAGGTGTGGTCCACGTCCAGCAGGGGCTGGTTGAGATTGGTCAGGTCAAGGTTGTATTTTGTTTTGTAATACTCTGCGAAAGTTTCATACTCGGGGGAAGGAAATTTACTCAGTGGGGTAAGATCAGTGTACACATCAGCTACATAAAATCGATGAGGCTGATCAAAATTTCGATACCTAAAAAAGAGAAACGGTCAGTGTCTTTCCATTTAAATCAACTGTCCTCAAAACACAACTGACTTTAATATGGAATAGCAATTATGATTTTAATGGAAGAGTTCAAAAGGTTAAAAGTAAATGTTAATGAAAACTTCAGTTCCAAATTCTGTATTTCAAGCAGATTTGAAAAAAGGACCACATTTCTATCAAGTAAGACCTAACTGACCATCTGCCTGCTTCCTCCCGCCCTGCCCGCCCGTCCGCACCCCAGCAGCACCAGGACGCTCACTGAGTGGCCCTGCAGTATCTACTCTGTCCATGGGAATAGCACACAAAACTCCTGACATCCTGACTGCGTGAACACGCGGTGCCGCACTAACGCTGCCCACGGCAGACACCAGCCACAGGGAATGTGTCGCCGCACCATTTACGACGCTGACAGTTTGATGGCAGCGGACATTTAAAATATGGCACTGAGGTGCACCAAGAAAACGAATCAGCCAGTACTCTAACTCTTTGAAAAGTGCCTATATTTAATCTTATTGCCAAAAGTCTCCCTCCATTCCCTAAGTTTTTACAAAATAAAACATTTTGATTTACAATGTCCCTTGCACTTAATAGCATTATTCCTTATAAGGAATATAAGGAATATAATTATAAGGAATATAATTATAATATAATGCTAAAATTTCCAGAGAAATATTACCTGTGATCAAATTCTGAACGACTTGGGGGCATTAAAAGGATTCCAATTTTATGAAGAAAGCCTGTCACCACTCAGATTTACCTGACCTTCACAAAGTAAAATCTCTTCAACTACATTGCTTAGGTTTTGTTTTTTAAGGACTTAAATTGTAGAAAACAAGTCCACCATGAAGAGATACTTAAATTTTCTAGTAGAAACATCAACACCGAAATCACAGCCCACTGACATTCTCTCCTGAACAAGTTAATCTCTTGAAACAAAGTGTCAGCAGCACTTTGATTTCCACTTAACCACTTGCCTTGGAATGATAACTGCATCCTGGTAATCTTCCAATTTAAAGACAAAGGGTGTTTCTTTTGAATATTTTGTACTGGGAATGCCTATGCGAGCTTCGGATTTCTCAATATCTTCCATGAATTTGAAGTCAATGTCCAAAGTGCTGGAGTCGTTAACTGAGGGAAGACACAGACCCCAGCTTGTTAACGTGTAGTAACACAGAAAAGATTCTTACTTAAGCTATACGTTCACACACGAGTCTAAGTTAGCGTTATCACGGTGAGGGATTCTGCAGTACACACGGAAGCTGGCTCTCGGGCAAGACTTCCATTTGGCAGTGAGCAGAAGTGAGAGTCCGAGTCTGGGCCCTGCTTACCGACGTTCAGAGGTAGAACACAGTACGCCGAATCGGCGTCCGTGGGTTTAAATTCTAGTGCAGGCTTTTCGAGGCGAAGAATATGTGAGAATATATACTGGTGGAGTCTTGTGATCAACTCGAGCATTTGAAGAGACAATGTGAAACCAGACTTCTTCAGCTCGATGGATATGGTGACCTCTCCAGAGCGGGTGTACACAGGAAAGTGCGGAATCTGAGCAAAAAGAAAAGAAAGCATCCCAAAGGTCAACAGGCGTGTTCTTCCTTTGTAAATATGTCACTTCGGAAGAGGAACGGTGCTCTCTCTCTATCAGGGAATCGAAGACACACCTCAATTTCTAAATATCAAACATACTGAGGTAACAAAAGGTAGCCATTCTTAGTTCTTCCTCTGTTAAAGAAACAGTGTACCTCTCACACAGACTGTCACTGGGAAGCCTTGCCTGAGGTATGGGTTTGGCTGTCAGTATTCCAAAGCATCTCGTGGTGTCCTCGGGGGGGTAGAGCTTCCGCCTCCGGAAGTTGAGTTCGTCAGGTAATGGTGTGGTGAGGACCATTCCTATCACGTACAGGTAACAGGGCTGATCGGGCTTGGGGTAGCTGTCCCTCAGACATTCTGGAATCTAGAAGTGGGGAGAAAAATAAGTATCAGGCTCAAGTATAATGGCCCCTTTCCCAGATGTTGGCAAGAAAACAAGTTTATTTCTGGCTTTAGTAAACAATGATGAGGAAAAGCTAAGGGAGACCGAGGCACGAGACCTCCGGACTACTGAACCCACTGGGGAGTAAGCACTTCTCAGGTGAGGGACGCAGCAAGGTGGTCCAGGGTCACCGGCCTCACAACCCACTGTTGCTGCTACACATGTCTAAGTAGGGGCCAGACTCGGGACGCTTCAGTGCATGAACCTGCCACAGACCAACCTGGACATACACTGAGACAACTGATTCTGACTCCCCAAAGGCCACGCCCCAACTCCTTACACATACGTGTACTCACACCCGCAGCAGGTGTGCCCCTCACGAATGGGCACCTCTTCACTTGTCTATTTTATCATACAAATCCTCTCTCGTCTTAGCCCCAGACATAAATAAAGCAATAATCTTATTGCTACAGTGGATGAAACAAAGAATTTTTCTTAAATGAAATAAAATTATTCTGGACAGCACCGGATGGGTGAGTCCGAGAATCCCTTGGAAGAGAGAGAGACACAGTGCGTGAGTGGGAGAGAGGGCCCAGCGCACGTGGGACGGCAGGGCTGAGGGGCGGTGTGGAGTGGGGAGCTGAGCGGGGCCCGGAGCAGACCAAGTCACGGGGCTGGGGAGCCGAGCAGAGGGGCTGCCGCGACTTGATGTGCAGGAAACTAAAAGTCAGAAAGGGCTAGATTTCTACTCAGTTCTAACCAATACTAACTGCTTTCGGGTAGCACTGTCTTCGTTTTGTGGAACCTGGCCGGCCCGGGACACTGGTCTCTTCTTCATCGTGTAAGTCAAGCTCTTCTTCGTATTTAACAGTTTCTTTCCCAACAGGCATCAAATGGTCATCCAGTTCACCTGGGAAAGTTAAAGAGCATTAACATCAACAACACAATGTGGCCCCTACTTAACCAGGGAACAGCAGAGCACGGCACTGCATTAGGAAGCAGCCGGAAGAGCAGTGACGAAGCCTCTTTGCTCTCAGTGCAATGCACTCGAACGTGACGCTTCAGGCAAAGTCTGTGTTGACACTCACATACTCAACGTGAGCAGGATTAAAACTGTCCCAAATTAAAAAGCATGTAAACAGGAAAATGGCACATTATCATCCCTCGACAAAAGCCATGGGAAATGAGTCTTTCCATTTAAAAAAAAAGTGAATTAATTTGTACACTAATATAGAGTTATTTGAGAGCTAGAGGGAAATACAAACATTTGTGATTCAATAGCATAAGAAAACCTTTATGTTTACTGACTTACAAGAAGTCAGTAAAGAAACAAAAATGACAGCTGCCTGCGGTGTAGCCTTGGAAAAGCGCTGCTACACTTGCACAGGACCTTCTGTTACGCCCCGGCCACTCCCACAGTCACCACAGCTGTGCAAGGCGACGAGCCAAGTCCACTGCTCCACACTGGTCCGCGGAGGCCTGCGAACTCCAAAGTCCTTGATGCGCTTTTGCTTCACAGTGTTTTTAACCCCACTTCTATTTGCATGTGCTTTTCAAACACTTACCAATTTTGTGCAGTTTTTCACAGCAAATAAGAGCTACAACTCTTTCAGCCAATCGTATACAACTCATTGGTGGACCCTGAAAGTAACAAAATACACATATAAATTTTGCTATATATGTATATACACGCAGCTACATTAACACCATAGACAGCCATGAAACCTCTGCCCCAATACCTTTAAAGTTGAAATTTACCAGAGTAAAGTTCTTTATTTTGAAAAATGTTAAGTTTAAGATGTCCTAATCTCCATATCTAAAATAGCCATCTTTAAAAATCTTGCCCAGGAAAAGCTAAACCAGCATTAATTAAGGCTTGACAATTTTGGTGCACTTAAATTTTAGTAAGATTTTAATACATTTTTTGCATGAACCTACGAATGCACAACCCTCAAAATAAAGACGCGTCAGGATGTGACTACAGCACACACGTGAACTGCCCTGAACAACCTGCACTAGAGATGAGTCACCTCCGAGGAGCATCTGGAAACTGGCCTGAGACCAAAGGCAGCAGTTACTCAAAGGCAGATCGTCAGCAACAACGTAACCAGCAGCCCAGCTGTATTTGATGAATTCTGTGTCACTGTCTGTGTCTAAGCCACAGCTGAATGGTTCTATCGGAAATGTTTACACTAATCCGATCTTACAGGAAATTTCAGAGGTCATACATTCCAATTTTCAGAGTCTGTACGTTATACAGTCTATTAAAAAACTGAACATGTAGTTGACTACAAAAGAGATTTATTTATCTACTTTTCAAAGTAGATATAAAGCCATATTTACCTATAAACTGCATAGGCATAGAGAAGCGAAAAAAGAAGTCCATTAACAGCATATGTTAAAAGCACAATCACTTCTTTTTCTAAACTTACAACAATGGAGGCTCGGAGAGGTGAGTTGATTGGCAGATAAAGCGTTGAGTAGAAGGTACCATCAGGCAACTCTCGGGTCCTACATTTAGGAGCTAGGTGAGTAAACGGGTCACTTGGCAGTCTCGCACAGTATCTGTGGGGAAAGAGAAGTGCGGATGCTCGGTCTCGCTGAGAAACAACTCAACTCAAGCTGAGAACCAGATGAAAATATTTCTGCTGACATGCACATCCTTAAGTTTGATTTCTTACGCCACCCCCACCCCCCCACTGGCGTGGGGTGACGGCAGCTGAACCGCTGCAGACTCTCAGTGAGGCGGGACAGGCCGTCTGATAAAACTCTCTGCAATGACGTTCTGTACACACACTGTCCAACAGGGTCACCACCAGGCCCTGAACTGTGGTGAGGACAGCCAGGGAATGAAACTTGCTATGTTATTTAATTTTAACTAAAACTGAAATTTGAATTTAAATAGCCACATATGTCGAAGGACTACCATGCTGGACAGTGCAGAAAATACTGCTCTGAGTCCGTTAAAGCAACACACTCACACCTGTCAGGTGCTACCAGGGCCTGTGCAAGAAGGTGTCAGCAGAGGGCAGAAGGACAGCCCATCGCTGACAGAGGAGGGCCTGAGAACACGGCCACCAGTGGGGGCACAGGAGGCTGTGGCTGCGGGGTAAGCAGCCAGTTTACAGGGAGCTGAGGCAGACGGGGAGGCTGCTGGGAAAGAAGGCACCCGAGATGGGGACAGGGCCCGCGCAGTCAGGGCACCCAGACCTGACGCCAGCCCTGCAGTGCAGGAGACTGGCTACACACAGGGAGACTGAACACAAAATCCTCCAGAAGGCAACGGGAATCCTATTTCTCACCACCGAGGAAGCCAGGAACAAAGATGGGAAAGAGGAGAACTAGAATGAACTCTCCGGTGTCACACTAAACACGGATGGCACCAGACAGATACAGAAACACGGGTGTAAGTGCATATGTGAATATATACACATGCACAGGCATACATCTATTTTCTGGCTCTGTCCATCAGAGAGCCTGGTGGCGGCAGTTCTCCAGTGGCAACGAACACACCAGCATTCAGACCTTTGTTTTTAAACACCACTCATTCTGCAATAAAAAGAACCAGGCTTTTTGGAGAAATAGCCAACAGCTATTCTAGGGCAGGGCAAACAGGCATTCAGTCTAGAACATGTTCGTATGCCATTAAATAAGGAAGTGTTCAGAGAATAATAGTAACACAATAAGAAGACATGGAAGCAAGCTTGAAGGGGCTCCCACTGGCCGAAATTTTAACATCAAAACAAATAATGAATTAGCTTAGTAGATTATAACCCACTGAATAAAACCAGCAGTACATTCATTCACAGACAGTAAGAGAAAGCTCTCCCTTAGGGTAGTAGGCCACTAATAAATGCAGAAAGAAAAAATGGAATGAGAAAATCTCCATTTTACAGACATCACAGTAATAATCAATTTAGGCAAGAAATATCAATAGATACTTAAGGTAATGGGTGAAATGGGGAAGAGGAATAAATTTTATATAGTCTCTCCATGAAGCGAGTCACTAATTTGAGGAGGGAAAGGTAATTTCACAGCAGCAAAGGCCGGCGGACACCCTGCAGGTGACCTGAGTCCCCGTAGCCAGGAAGAGCACCAGTGGACGCCGAGTGCCCCGAGGAAAAAAGATGAGATGACACGCTGACCAATGTGCAGAACCTGGGTCTGATCACCAAAATATCAGATGAGCCCAAAGTGGGGGACAGGCCGCGAAGGGGCTGGCCTGTGCCTCTCTGGAAGGTCACCACAGTCAAGGAAAGACTGCGGAATAGTTTCGGGCTGAAGGAGACCAGGGATGATGAGGAAAACAGACACAAGCCCTGATCCTGGAGGGAGTTCCTTCACTGCAAAGAACTTGCTCGTGAAACTGGAACGGATCTCCCCAGGTGAACGGTATATGGGAGTTCTTTGTGGCATTCTTGCAACTTTTTAAAGTATGAAATTATTTCCAAATAAAAGCTAAAAAGAAGAACTTGTGCTTGCTGCTGCTGTATTTTGCCTCTACATGAAATTTACCCTGATACATAACATAGGCACGCAGCTGCTTTACTTAGTTCTTAAAAATGTCGTCACTGGCTCAGAACAAAGGAAACTAGAACATACTCAAAAACACAAGTTAATTCATCATAATCTTAAATTGCTGCTGATGAAAAATGCAATATCTCCCAACACCCATGGCATAAAACAATACAATCAGAATTCAGAAAAATATTAGTGAACATTGTAAAATTAAATCTATTAAAATAAGCATGCCTTCATTATGTCAACCTTGTCAATGAGAACTGAACATTTTACTGCACAAGACTCTTTGTGCCTCTTGACCAAAAAGAATGAATGGAAAAAACAACTTTTCTTGCTCTAATCAAAATATTACAAGCCACAAATAGAAAGACTGCTATTTACAAAGGTAAATAACATGATACTTGCGGGTTTGACTTAAATCTTGCAATTACTCATAACAGGTGAGTGCGCACCGTACCTATTGATGTGCCCGATGGCCGTGTTGATCGTGACCCGCGGACCCCCATCGTCGGGCCTCAGCACGTACGGTGGGAACACGTCGTCGTCGTCCACGACGGGCTCCACGTCAGGCTCGCCGGTGTCCACTGACTTGGAACATTTGTTTCTCAAGATCTGGACATTTTACAAACAGAATCTGTGATGAGAACAAGCGCCTTCTTTGCCATGTGTGGGTTATCCACCTCTGTTCCTAGGGGAGAAGTTTCTTTGACGTGAAACCTCTCGCTGCTGAATGCACTTCAGTACGTCAAAGTCACCTGCTGCAGAAAGTTTCTCCCGGTGCATCCCTCCTGGCGCCAGCATCACACACTCATCCTACAGGTACAGGGTTAAAGCACCACGCCCGCCCGTGCGAGGGAGTGCACATGCGCGTATTGTCACCGATCTTTCATCTGCACAGCAGCCATGGCATCACTTCTGAACCCCTCCACAGCTCGATCAATCACCTGTCACTGCACTGTCCACACTGCCAGCGCGCCTTCCTCCGTAATGCACATGAACATTTCCACTACTTCATTATAAGGTTTCAAACACTTTACAAAATACTGCTGGCTCTCTGTATGTTCACTGTCTTATAATGTACACAGTACACACGCTTTTTGAGACCGTTCTCTGAAGAGACTTGCTTTTATCTATTTCTATGTACACAAAGAATAACAAAGATACCATGTTACTTTGGGGATCATACCTTTTCAATAGCTTTGTATGTTTTCAGATCTTCTTCAAAACTTTTTATTTTGTCCGTGTCTGCTAACATTATGTAATTGGAGATCGGTGCCCTGGCTCTTCCCTTGGACTGGACATAGGAGCGATACTCCGTGGGCAAATCGAAACGGACCACCAAGTTGCACTTTGGTATATCGACGCCCTCTTCCACGATACTTGTTGCAATAAGCAGGTTGGTCTCATGAGCCCGAAATTTTCTGAGTACCTGAAAAAAATCCACCAAAGAAAGCAATTCCAAGAAATTCTCCAAAGAAACCAATGTTGTAAAAGGAAGTGACAATGGTAATTTCTGACACATACTCTGGGCACGCTAAACTTCTAAGGCCAGGCAAAAGACGACGACATCAAACGAAACTCAGCCTGCGTGAACACATGCGCAACCACACAGTCTTCAACTGAGTCTGACTTAAAAAACTGAAGTGCCTTTCAACTGTACACAAGTGTCCGTGTACAAATCACAGAAAGCCTTTGGGCCGAAGGGCTTGGCTTCTTCAATGGCACGAAAGAATTTAGCCAACAAAGTGAACAAGTGAAGGCACTTCCTGAGGCCGGTTGACACCCTGACCCTCTGCCATGATGTCTTATGTCTGTGAGGTCGTGCCAACATCCCTCCAAAGATGTAAAAATTCACTAAAATTCCCTGAATCGGTTGGAATTAAAATGATAAACAAGGCATTATTTACTTTTCTGGAGTCTTGGGGAATTTTCAATTGCAGAAATCAAAATCAACTAAAAAATAAAGAGAAAACTTTTTTCCTACCAGATTTAAAGTAACAGCACATGCCAATCCAGAATAAATACTCCAGTAAAGTGGGCTGTAGGTGGGTCTGTCGGACTCCGGCTACTGGTCTCCCTGGACCAGGCGTGTTACTAAAAAGCTACGATGTAGGTATGACATCACCGTGAATTATTCTGCCACTTTTAAGTTAAAAAACAAACTTTAAATAAAAACTTTTTTGTGAGCCAGAATATTATATTAAGTTTTCACACCTTCAAAATGCTGTTTTCTACACTAAAATCTTAAAAGGCATGAAAAAAATAAAGCCAAAATGTTGATGGAAAGCAAAACAAAACCCACTCGGGAGAAATTTCCGTCTGCCGGTTCAGAGTCACCCGGGGTCACAGGAGTCGGCATCACACACGCTGTCGGTCTGTGAGATACACTTGAGTGCCACTGGGTTGACAGAGGAAGATGACATGGTCGATAGCAGTTAGGACACAAAATGGATTAACTGGACCGCCGTTCCAATCCTGAACTTATGAATCACTACACAGCTACCTCGGAGGGGACGGCTATTCTCTGCAGTACCAGACAGGCTGAGGAATCACGAAGGAAGGGAGCCCCTACGGGCAGAGTGTGCCTGCCTGTGTTCTGAAAACCGTCACTGCACGACGACTGTAACTCACCTCTTCCTGTTTTCTGAATTCTGCTTCCATCTGTTTGTTACGAGGCTGGTTCTTTCCGATGCCATGTCCAGTTATAAAATTGCTGCTGATGTAAGCCAGCTCTGGATCTTGTTTGCCAGCTTCCTTTATCAATCTAAGAAAATTACATACATTTTGAAGTTAAACACTGGTGAGGGGAAAAAAATTTAGACCTGGATTGGAAGGTCTCCCTTAAAATGGAAATGCATGTATTTTTTGCCAACATACCTAACAAAATGATGTTGTATTTTTTTTCCCAAGAAGCTTAAACAGAAATCACTGCCACCCTCCACTGAGCAAACTGAACCTAGCACTTATAACACCAAACACAGGGGTGATTTACAGTGACGAATAAAACGGTCACAGTGCCTCCGCCTTCCTAACCGGGCAGTGAGGACTCAACAGAAATGTGGCCCGGGGAGGACAGAGCCAGGCCGAGAGCAACAGGAATCCCTCCTCCTTCTTGGCCTCAGGCCTCACACACTTGGCGCGGGCAGGACCTGCGTGGCCGTCACGCCCTCGTCCCCGCAGCCTTCACGGGGGAAGTGTCACACACCCTGAGGCCAAAGGGGAAGATTCCACAGCACAGGCAACCTCGTCTCCCTCTGCGAGCACGGAGAGGGTCCCTGCATCTATGAAAGGGATGCAGACCCCTAGGACAGGGATCTCCAGTCCCAACACTCCCATGTCCGGGCACTGACCACACCTCTGCACAACAGATATGGACCTGGGCACGACAATGCCGGAGCCCCATCCCACCCTCCGATGAAAGAGCAAGATTCCGCAGCTCTCTCTTCCTGCCTGCTCCTCTGCGTTAACCCACCATGCTCGTGGCCCAAAGCTGGCCTTCCAGCTAAGAAATGGAACAGAGCTACAGGAGGAGATCACGTTACACGGTACAGAAGGTTAACAGTTAGTGTTGCCATTACAGCTATTTTGGAAATACCCACGTTCAGAAACTCGGCACACAGGATAAACGGTTCCACACCTGACATAAGTGATTCCATATGGTCCTTCTGAAGTCATACAACATAGCATACATTCCTAATAGAAAATTGCATTTTTAAGTCAAACCATTCTTTTTTTTCCTTTTATAAATACATGAAACAGACTAATATCAAAGAGCTGGAAGAAACCTTGAGCAGCCATCTAAAATATCCTTCTGCCTCCAAATCGGCACAATCCCGGCACGTCCAGGTTAGTCTGAAAGCCTGTCTACAATTCAAGTACCTAAATGTTCAGAATCAGGAACTTCCTTACTATGTTCCAAGCTTTGTTTAATTATAATAATAAACTTAAGACACGTGGAGCAGAAAGCAGTGCCACAGGCAAACAAATAACATGATCTAAAATATGAAATTGTGTTAGAAATATGTGCTTCCAAATTTTAGCTTATGAAAGTAAGCATCAGTATGAATGCAACAGAGCCTAAAACAGTTCATTTCAGGCTACTCCAAAGTAGGCACATATTGTATTTCACTTTGCCAACACAATCAGTCTGGCAGACTTCGATCAGCTGAGAAATGGAAGCACTGAATTGATTTCTCCTTCATGAAACTCACACCAATACTGCAGAGAACAGAACAGACCACATGCGCAGTAATGAACAAACTTCCTTGTAAGCAGTAATTAAAGGCTATATTCATGGGCTGATAACATGTAGAGATAAAAACCTTGTTTCTCTCTCAGAGGAGTTGAAGGGATGCCACACCCTGTGCCCCGGACAGAGCGCAGGCTCCCGGGGAAGGGTGCCAGTCCACTGCTGCAGGGAGCTCCCAGGGGCAGGACACGCTGCCCCAAGGGGCCACGGCACCAGAGGACCGGAAGACGCAGTCCTACTGGCCTCTCCTGACCTTACCCCGAGTCCACGCGGCCCGTGCCACAAGCAGGCCGTGCAGGGATGCGTGCTGTCCTCCGGTGCACGGAGCTTCTGAAACAATCTGTAGCAACCTGGTCCTTGTTTTTTCCTAATTTCAAATCCAGAGACCAATATTTTTGTAACATTCCACGAACATCACCTACTAACAACATAAAACTTATTTCTACAAAATACCTGAGTAGTGCTCCTCAAAGGCTGTCAAGGTCATCAAAAACAAGGACAGCCTGAGAAACTGACATAATTTTGGAGTTCCGGCCAAGATTGAGGCGTGAGTAGAAACCCTTCACCTCTTCACACAACCAAGAGGATAACAACCAATCTAAAATCAATAAACCACCAAAAGCGCCAAAAAATCAAAGTACATGGAACTCTGACAACCAAGGAATTAAAGAAAAAATCAACGAGAACAACTGGACTGGTGAGGCGGACCATAGGCCAACTTAGAAAAACCTCAGCCAGGGGGCTGGAGGGTGGGACTGACTGTGGAGCTCTGCGGAGCTCCTTGGGAGAGACTGACTTAAGGGGAAACAGACTCAGAGCTGACTGTGAGCCACGGCTGGGGTTGCTGCCGTGGAGATACTTCCAGTCTGATGGGAGAGTCCGATGGGAGCGTCTGATGGGAGAGTCTGCTGGAAAGTGCGCTAGAGAGGAGCACGTTCCCTCTCTGGCCCCTCCCACAGGCAGCGCAGCCAGGAGGGTGGCCCCACCCAGTGAATACCTAAGGCCCCGCCCCTTACAATCTATCAGCTGTGCCAAGACAAAGACATATGGCCCAAATGAAAGAACACAGCAAAACCTCGGAACTAAACGATGAGGACATTGTCAACCTGTCTGATGGAGAATTTAAAGCCCTGGTAATCAAAATGCTCACAGAACTGATTGAGCTTGGTCAAAAAATGGAAGAACAGCCCTGGCTGGTGTAGTTCAGTGGATTGAGCACGGGCCTGTGAAGCAAGGGGTTACAGGTTCGATTCCCAGTCCAGGGCACATGCCTGGGTTGCAGGCCAGGTCCCCAGTGGGGGACGCGTGAGAGGCAACCATACATTGATGTTTCTCTCTCACTGTTTCTCCTTCCCTTCCCCTCTAAAAATAAATAAATAAATAAATATTTAAAAAAATGAAAGAACAAATGAGAGATACCCAAAATGAAATAAAGCAAAACATTCAGGGAATCAACAGTGACAAGATGGAAACCAGAATTCAAAGCAACAATTTGGAACAAAAGGAAGAAATAAACATCCAACTGGATCAGAATGAAGAAACAAGAATCCAAAAAAATGAAGAGAGGCTGAGGATTCTCTGGGACAACCTGAAACGTTCCAATATCTGAATTATAGGGGTGCCAGAAGGAGAAGAACAGCAATGAGAAATTGAAAACGTATTTGAACAAATAATGAAGAAAAACTTCCCCAATCTGGCAAAGGAAATAGACTTCCAGGAAGTCCAGGAAGCTCAGAGAGTCCCAAAAAAGTTGGACCCAAAGAGGAACACACCAAGGCACATTATCATTAAGTTACCCAAGATTAGAGACAATGAGAAAATCCTAAAAGCGACAAGAGAAAAGGAGACAGTTACCTACATAGGAGTTCCCATACAGCTATCAGATGATTTCTCAAAAGAAACCTTACAGGCAAGAAGGGGCTGGAAAGAAGTATTCCAAGTCATGAAAGGCAAGGACCTACATCCAAGATTGCTCTATTCAGCAAAGCTTTCATTTAGAATGGAAGGGCAGATAAAGTGCTTCTCAGATAAGGTCAAGTTAAAGCAGTTCACCATCACCAAGCCATTATTATATGAAATATAATAATTATATGAAATATAACAATTATATGAATTATACTAATTATTATAATTATATGAAATATAATAATGGGACTTATCTAAGAAAAGATTAAAAATATGAACATTAAAATGACAATAAACTCACAATTATTAACAAATGAACCTAAAAGAAAAGAAAAAAAACAAAAACTAAGCAAACAACCAGAACAGGAACAGAGTCAGAGAAATGAACATCACACAGAGGGAGTTCAGTGGGGAGGGGGAAGGGAGGAATGGGGGAAGGTACGGGGAAGAAGAAGCATAATTAGTAGGCATAGAATAGATGGGGAGAGATGAAAATGGTACAGGAAACAGAGGAGGACTCAAAGAACTTACATGAGTAGCCCATGGACACGGACTAAGGGAGGGGGGATGATGGAGGGTTGGGGGGCAGGGTGGAGGGGGGACAAAGGGGGGAAAATTGGGAAAACTATAATAGCATAATCAGTAAAAAATACTTTAAAGAAAAAAAAAGAAAGCCTGAGAAACTGCAACAGACCAGAGATGAGGGAGACACAACATCTAAATGCAATACGGTGCCTTGGACTATAAAGAGGGGGGCAGTGCTCGTTTTGGCAGCACACACACTAAAGAAAAAGGATACTCATGGGAACAGCGGTGAGATTCAAATGAAGTCTGGAGTCTAGTCAACAGTGACACTGCAGCGTCATTCCTGTAGTGCCATGGTACGTGCGCCACAGCCACAGAAGACGTCAGTAAGGGATGGGGGACACTGGGCTAAAAGGAAACCCTGTACTATCTCGGCAATCTTTCTGTAAACGAGAATTATTAGGAGAGTGCGGAGTGGGGGGGACATACACCCAGGCTGGTCCGACCCCAATGTCACATAACACCGATGAATTACACAGTGACAGGAAGCCCGGACTGAGAGAATGGAGGCGGTCTGCTGCCACTGGGTGTCAGTGTGGTTTTGGGAGAGTCACCAGTTGAGTCTTGGTTTCCTCATCTACAACAAGTAAAAATATCTACCTCCCCCCCATGAAGGGTTGTGAAATTGAAAAATACATATATCGAGATAAATTATAAACCATATATACACACACACGTAGCAAAAGAAAAACTGTAAACATGAGACTGTACAGACACACCCACACTGTGCAGAGAAGTAGAACTGTCATTTATTTTCTTAATTAGGAGAGGAGAAAACTGCCCGTGCGTTACAATAGTCCACGCTCCCATGAAACTGTTCACTGAAGAAGGGGTTTTTCCTCCCATTAAGTTGATGGAAGGAAAGAATCTGGATTCTGGATTTCAGGAAGTTTTTCTAAGCTTATTAAAAAGCTAACTGGAACAAGACCTCTATTGTATATTTAATTAGCTGCCCATAAAGTCAACCCTCAAACCGCTCTTGATTCATCATCCAACACTAAATTCCAGCCACATTTTATGAGAGTTGATCACAATTCATCTGATCCTCAGAGTCAGTAGGAAGTAACTGGTTGATTTTTGATAAACTCTTTCGGGCTAATACTCCTGCAGTGAAAACTGGCCCATCTCTACATTTAAAAACACATGTAGAGATGAGTGGCAAGTTAGAAAATAACCCCCCTGTTGCTCCTCTCCAAGCCCCAGAAAACGGACTGACTCCCACAGCACCCTGGGAGGGCGGGGCACGAGTCTGTAAGCAGCTGAGAGCCGCCAAGGAGAGCTCGCCTGATCCCAGCAGCCTTCCCTCCCACCCTCTGGGCGGCCTTCCCAGTCCACAGCTCCGGGGGTGTTCTGACTGCAGGGGGACTGGAGATGGGGGGGAGGCACCAGGATTCTCGAGTTGTCTCTGTTACTAACCAGCAATTCAACTTGGAGCCCACCACTCTTCCCCGAGGCCCTCTCTTTTTTATAAAACTAAGTGGGTTGGATTAGATAGTCAGTGAGGTCCCTTTCCAACCTTAACTTCTGATTTCAGTATAATTCACTACTTCAAGTTATTTCACTTTGCAATCATCACGAGGATCAGGCCCAATGACTATGAAAATTACCAGACTGAAAACCACCAGATGACGACCCCAGAGTCCAATTTCTCGTTACTCAAGTAAGTTTTCAAAAATCCCAAACCAGTCAGAAGCAGTTTAGGAAAAAAAAAATCCCAAATTACCTCAGGAAACAAAGCTTAATTTCCCCTCGGAGAACACTACTTGCAGAAAAGGCTCTTAGGGATCAACTCTGGCCCATCAGTGGGTCTCACAGAAAAGTAGATGGCCGGAAGCACAAAATACGCACCCCCTACCCCCGCCTCGGGCCCTTACACACAACGAAGCATCTGTCCACAGACCAGAAGAACTAGACCTTAGGTGACAACCTGACACAAGTTTCAGTCCAGCTCCTCGCAGGTCTGTGCTCAAGAAAGACGCACTGCTGTTGAAGAGGGTGGGTGGGGACGCATCCCCTGGTTCGGGGTCACTGTCTCCTCTGCCAACAGCTTCCAAACGCCCCCCTAATGTTTTGTTCTCTCCCGATTCAGGTCATTTCAATACACAGTCTATGAAGCAACCCAAACTACAAAGTCAGTGGTTCTACACTTTTCCCACTGCAAACTTGCACATGTATAAACTTGAATCAACATCTGTTGGGGTTGGGGGGGGAAGCTAATATAGAAAAACTAGCCACGATAATACCCAGGATAAAACTGATCCAAAGATGCCTTCAGAACAAGGCTTGCTATGTGTGGAGAGCTGCACACAGCGCCTAACACGTCGTCACAGAGCGATAAACACCCGAACCGAGTTCACGACTGAACACAAAACACGGAGCGCTCTACTGTACCTGTCTGTCCCTGGACCTGCTCTCTATTTCAGGTGAATCGGAATACGGCGCATCCTCGAAGGAAGTCTCAGCCTCGTGAAGCCCAGCCATTTGGGAAAGCTACTGTCCACACACATCCTCGATGTCGACCCCGTGTGGCATCCACTGAACTTGGATCCACTGAACTTGGATCCACTGAACTTGGATCGCACCAGGACAGGCCGAGGAGGGCCACTCACGCCACCCTTCTGCCGGGGCTCTGAGGGCCACCCCAGATCAGTCACAGAACAAAAAGCTGCTTTGTTCTACTATGGGGAAAACATTCATCTTAGAGACTTACCTGTTTAAGACAACTGCTGTGTATCTTCTCTCCACAAAAATAATTCCACATAAAATATTGGTAAATGGAGAAGGAAAATTTGTCTCTGGCTTCTCCTTTTCTTCAATTTCTTCATCCTCATCATCATCCTCAGAATCACTCCAAGACACATAATTGTCCTGGTTCCTATTATTGTACCACTCCACGCTCTCAAACTGCTGCCGCTCATATGGTTTGTATTTGCGTAGGATTTCGAGCAGTTTGATCACTTTAGGAGTTACAAATTTCAGGTCAAGTGAGGCAGGTGAGAAGTGCTCTTCACACAGTGCGTGTATTTTCCGTAGGAAAGTGTCTGTAAACAATAGAAACTTCCTGTGCAGCTCCTCTTGCTCATGTTTGATGTATTTCTGCAGTTCTCTTACCATCATTCCAGCCACTTTATCTGCACACCAGGGTCCCAGAACTACCAACACCGCACGACAGTCTGACAGTATCTACAAAAGAATGTGCAGAGCTAAATGGAAACAATAATCGTGCAGCATTTTCCTGCAGGGTTTAACTGGGGTTTAAGTTGTCTTCAAAATGCCCCTTTGAAAAAATTTCCCCCACTAATACAAACACTGAGGTTACTTCCCTGAGGTTGGGGGGAGCAGCCCAGGTCTTTTTAAGCTCTGTTTTTTCATTTATATTATGTCCAGAACCGTTCTTTTGTTTTCCCCAGCAAAAATAATTGAATAATAGGAATTAAAAGATGCAATTGTATAAGGATAATAAAATTTAATCTTTCATCTATGACTAGTCAGAAGTACACATGAGCCATTTACTTCCAGATAACTATGCAAGGAATTCCATAGCAAGAGTCATTTTATTTTAGGTATCAAAGAGCAAGCAATTTTCCTTTAACTTTGTGCCCAGAGTAGCACACCGTCCAACCAGAACTCAGAGCAGAACATAAATCCACAGCAAGTAACTGAGGGATCTTCTGGAGCCAAAGTGAAGGGCCCACTGCACTGGACACAGACTTGATGAAAATTCAAGGGCTGGGAAGCGTCTGGGCACTGCTGCTTCAGAAAAATCAGCAAGAGAAAAACTAAGATGCAGGTTCAATAGTGTCAACATTCACAAACGGCTGCAAAGCCCTAGAACAAGTTCAAAAGTTTTAATGCATCAGGATGACTGGAGGGCTTGTCAAGTCTCAGCCAGTCAGAACCCCACCCCAGAGCTTCAGATTCAGAGGGTCAGGGATGGACCCGTAATGTGCATGTCTAAGAAGTTCCGGGGGGTGGGGGAAGGGGTCCACATTTTGGGAACCGCTACCCTAAGGAATCTCATCTCAAAGCTGGATCCCACTCAGGATGATGAGCTTATACCCGCTTCACATAAGGAAACCTTCAGAAGAAAGGGTTTGAATAGGAACTAACCCATCTGACCAAAGGGAAAATGGACTCCTTTTACTTAAATAGCCATGACATGAATCCTAAGTCACTTCTCAAGTCAGGGAAGTCTACACTTAACAGAAACGTCTGTCAGGTAGTAGTAAACTCAACCCAACACATGTTTAATAAAACAATTCCTTAAACATGGTAAGAAGGTAAGGCCTTGAATTAAAATGCACAGAAAATAGCCTCATTAGAAGCATATTTTCATTTCAATACTAAGGCAGAAGCCTTTCATTATACTTCCTGTACTTACTTGTAGATGCTTACCTGTTTAGAAATTAAAGTAGAATCTCTTTCTTTTGAATGTACAGATATGTTACAGTCATTGATAAAATTAAGTGCTTCTTCTAATTCCATCAGCAGTCTTTCGTAAAGCCCACTCCTGTCCATAAACGGTCCACAGTCTACCACAATCTCATATGGCTGTGAAGTATACCTTGAACATCAGAAACAAAAGCAGTTGATACTACAATAAATTCACTGCTGCATCACGATCCACTACACGCCTAAACCCAAAAGAAACTGCCCACATTCAGCTGGTACACCCGCTCGGGACCGCGGCCGGGCTCACAGCCTTCCCACGGTGGGGCCCGCTTGCGTCCGTGCTGTGTGTGTTGGCTGCCAGGGCTCACGGAGTGACTGCAGAAAGCTGGTAGGTTAAGGGTTTTGCGCACTCATCGTTATCCCAGGTTTTTCATTTTGTTTTTTAGGGTTAGACTTTCATCTCTTATCTGCTTAGGAACGACGTTGGCCGAAATACTCCAGAAACCCAGTGATGACTACTTCTCCGAAGGAGAAATCAGTGATCGGGGCAGATCACAGGGAGAAAGCGTTATCATCAAATTGACTCATTTCCATCCTATTTGGAACTTTAGCATCTGCCAGTGTCAACTTCGTTTATGATGTCTCCTGACTTAAGGAAAGCCCCCCTCCACTTTCGATCAGTTACAGTGTCGTTCCTGGGATCTTTCATGCGTTTCACAAACTATGACAACTAGAACGGCACATATTATTCTAAAAGCACATAAAATAAGTAAGGAAAAGAAATACAGTGAAGACCTATTTACTACTTCCGTTTTCATTATGCTCAGCCGTAATCTATACTTAACCAAAGAGCCACATTTAAAGAACTAGGTAGTGCCAAATTCAACAGATTACTTGTCAGTTTTACTTAAATGCTCTACTACTTCTACTGTGTTTAAAGATTTCAGGAAGACGGCCTACTGATGTAATTCAGGTCAAATAGAAGCAAAAGTATAGCCTTAACTGCTACATCATGGATCATTCTGGCTCAGAGGTCAAAAGTACCATGTCCTGAAGGTTATGAGATTTATATTTCATATAGCATGTGGATACCTAAATTCCATAACCTGAAAGAGTTCCTCTTTTTCTCATTCTACCTAGAGAACTTTTCCAAAATTCTTCTACATGACAGGCACACTGAAAGTGGTATTCTAGGTGTCAATGTAATTAATCATCAAAAACGCCCCTGAAACCACTGTCAATGCCATTTTATCAATTCAGGAACAGCAAATGACTCACTTGAAGTCACAGAGCTTACAATTAAGTGGAGCCAGAACTCAAAACCCATGTCTGATTCAAATCCATAACCTTAGCAATCAGTCTTCTCTGTTTACTGTAACTGTCACACTTGGTAATCTTTTAGCCTTGTTAAAGATTGTATCTTACAAGGACAGAAAGGTATTTTAATATGAACTGAATTAATTACATTTATTTTAAAACCCAACTTATACAGGCTCCCTTCCAGGAACTTAAATCAAAAAGCATATTGTCTGTGTGTGTGTTAATGAAACTCAAAATAGCAACCTCCTCAAAGAGACAAACTTCGAAATAATTAAAAATCTTTCTCAGAAATTCACTCCCAGTTTCAAAGTGTTTCCAATTATTCTAAAGCATACTGTAAAATACTAAATTCTCTTCTTTTCAAACCATCACATGGGACACTTGGGCCAGAAAAACAAAGTGCACACATGGATATAGGACAGGACTGTCCTGTCCGCGTTCCCAGTCCTTGTCAACACCAGCAGACAGGAAGGCCCACGGTGATGCAACTTTCTCTCACAAGGCAGGAGCTCCATCTGCTACTCGGTGGAAAAAACGTTAAATCCCTGCCTGTGGTCGCCAGTCACTGTCCTGATAAAGAACCGCTGGTCTTGCTCATTCCTGTAAACAGCCATTGTTCTCTCTCAAACAGGCACTACCTGCAAGGCACAGTGGAAGGTACCAAAGGCTTAAAACCAGTGATCGCTAGTCTGGCCACACCAAGTCCAGCCGCAGTGCGTACCTGTCTAAGACCACCAAGTCAGTTGCAGTTTCAGCATTACTCTTAAGAATTTTCTCCAGTTTCTGAATCTTCTCTTCTAATTCCTCTGGATCACATTTCCCATTTAAAATGGAAGCAGTTAGTCCCAAAATACGAGGGCACGATGGGCAACTTTCACAGAGCTAACATAATAAAAGTAAGAAATTCATTTTGTAAGGCCATAACAAAAGAGATAACACCATATTAAAACATGTCAAAGAGACTGACAAATACTAAAAATATTACTTATAGAAGTACGGTAGTTTGTTTAAAAGCTCTGTTTATCAAAAAGGAAGATTTAAATATGCTATGACAGATGGTGTAATTCATTTCTGTTCAAAATTTTATTACACATTTAGATTATAGATTTATGATAGTTTCTTATTATAGAGTATAGATATAAGTGAACATTAATATTCATTCATTCATACACTGGAACCAAGGTCTCAAAATTGGCATTATTGTTTTTAATATATAAAAACACTACTTATATGCAGTAATTTGACCTGAATTATGAAGACCAATAAAATATAAAAGCTTACCTTCATAATTTCTCGGTAGGGGTGGTCTAGAATTGCAAGATGACACTCATCAAACACCAAAAGGTTAATGTCTGACAGTGATAAGTAACCATTTTTCAAAACAATCAAGGCGACATAGCAAGTCATAATGAGAACCTAAAACAAAACCGACATCAGTGTGGAAACAAGCGCGCCATTCACCTGCCGGACCCACTTACATGAAAGGAGACCAACCACAGAACTCATCAGTCATAACTAAAACCAAAACTTAAATGTCTGGAAGCTCATACTTCAGAACCAAGAAGTAGAATTAGGAAAACGTGAAGACCTTTTTTTAAAAATGATAGATTAAATCTACTTCAGGTTTTTAGGTTCTACAGGCATATTTTGACCGGTGAGTCCTGTTAATGTAATCTAATCACAAAATGATTCACACCGGTTTTTCTTTTTTCTCCCCACTGAATTGACAAGGTTTTCTAGAAGCTGACACAAACCAAACGTTCCTTTTATAGCTTGCCTTTCTGGGGACATTTCAGTGCTTTTAACTGCAACTTGGCCCACTGGGAGACGTGCTAGGCGGCTGTCTGCGGGCCGCATGGGCCGGTTAGGGGACAGCACCACGTCAGAGCCACCAACCCCAACACGCCACAGGCCCTCAGCATGTGCTGGGTCCATGGAGACTGAAGTCAGAGGAAACCTCGCTAAAGACCCAAAGATCTCAACCACGAAATGTCTCCAGTTCCAAGACAGCTAACTCAAGAGTAAATTTTCTGAAAGCAGGTTATCAGCAAGTTGGAAATAGGTAGGTGGAATTTATGCTTCTTTCCAACCAACTACATAACGTGAAAAGCTGCTTCTTTTCTAAGTGAGAGCAACACAAATGAGTGATGTATCTGGCGGGAGGATGAGATGTGCGGGGAGAAAGAGTGCACAGGGCTGGCTGCTGGGCTGACAGGCACGGGAACTAGAATGTTCAAGTCCTGCTCCGACAGCCAAGGATAAGGTCATCTTATAAAGCAAGTCAAGGACTTGCCTGGATTTACAGAGTGAAATTTCTCTACAAGTCTTACCTGGTGCTTAGTAAACTCTTGGTTCCATTTCTCTTTTGTCCACGATGCATTTAGTTCTAGGTTTGAATACTCCCCAACCTTGAGATCAGAATGAGTTCTGACAGCGGACACTTGCTGAGCAACCTGGTTTGCTGATTACAAACAAAAACTCCATGTAAATATGACAAGTAGGCTCTAGTTGGTTCTCTGAACTAATGACTAAGACAGTTAAGAAAACCCTTACCATTATGTATTACACCTCACCACTGACACATCAGGTATTTCCAAAACGCACGGATCAGACTCACCACCCTGCCTCTGTCACTCCCTCCAAGAACCTCCTGTCACCTTCTTGCTCTACAGCTGATCCCCCCAGCCTACAAACAGAGCTTTCAGGCTAGAATGTTAACCACTGTAGACCCACCCCTCATATGTTCTTCAATAAAATCAGATCGTTTCACCAAGAAACAATAGAGACTACTATGCGTTTAAAGCGTATAAGAACATCACATACTGAGAGGAATGACATAGTTGTCATTAGTACCCAGGCAGCTCATGTTCACATCTTACACTTTTTAATTTTAATATGTAATCCAAAAACACAAAAACCAGTGTTGGAAACTTACTGAGTAACTATCACAAAGCAGGTAGCTTTCTTTCTACAACGGGTATAGCAAAATCATAAATAAAAAAGTTACCTATCTCATAATCTAGCACGTTTTGACATATTTTATGAAGCTAAAAAACCAAACACAAACTGTCACAACTTTGATTATGTTCCAATAGCAATCCATTCAAAAGAAATGTAGAATCAAAATTAAGTGCAATTACATTTAAAAGAAAAGCTAAAGTTTAACACCTATGAAATAAAATGTCTAGGATTTAAGAGAAATAACAAAGTTAGGAAATAAGACCAGATTATATTTCTGCTATCAGAGCTTCAACAAGCACATCATTTGTCAAACTCACTACTTTTTAATAATTTTAACCCAGTGAGCACAGAGAAAATCTGCTTAGCCATAAAATCTCCTCCAGTATCCTCCGTGCAGTCTGGTGAAATAAGGGTCCGTTACCAGAGTTGACCAGGAACACCGTCCTCTTCCCATGTCTGGTGAAGTCCCCCCTGATCTGATAGGACAGCTCTTTCGTGAGTAGCACGGCGATGAACGTCTTCCCTGAGCCAGTGTTCAAACAGACGATGGTGTTGCGGTCCAGAGCTGCCTCGAGCAGTTCAACCTGGAACACAGCGGGAAAAGAGATTATACACCTCCTGGCTAAGTGCAAAATTCAGAAAATTGAGTTTCGTTTTAATTCAGGAAATTCCACTGTTTTCTAAAATCTTCCTCCCATAAATCTGCATACCTTCTGCATCTGTATATACAAATAATGATAATCGGAGGCATTAAAATGCCTGTCATATATAGCTGTGCTGCATGAACATATGCTGAAACGCACACACAGTTTCTTTAAGAGAGACTTCTGCACAGCCTGAACACCGTCCTAGAATTACAGGACGACTGCGTTTGCAGCCCGCTCACAGCTGCTCGAACCAACTGCAATTCCGCCCAGCTCATGAGGACAGACACATCCAAATGGACATTAGGGAACAGCGAGGTTTTCAGAGGGGGAATAAAAATGAAAAACTTCACAAATGAAACTATCAAACCAATTACCCAGCAGATGTTAGAAAAGAAAAGGACTATCAAGAACAAAGGCATTTGGAATGAGAAAATTAATCAGAAGAGGGAAGCTTGAAAAGGTAAATGAGTTTATAAGTTGTGTCAACTATATGCTAATTTATTCCATTTTAGTGAAAATGCTTCAGTATTAGTGTTCTCATTAGTACCTGATATTTTCTTGGCGTATAAATGTTATCATGAATTGCTTCTTGTTGCCATGGCAGTCCAAAGAAAGGACCCATTGGTGAGGAAGCAGGGGTCATGAGCTGCAGGCCTGCCATGCTGAGGGGTTGCAAAGCAGGGCTTTTCATTCATCCAGTGTTTCTTTCATTGCATTTTTGTTCTAGCACAGCTTACTACAAAAGGGAAAAAGAATACCATTACACAACCATGCGGGGTCAAAAACAAAAGAAAGCACAGAAATGAGAGAAACATCAGAATATCACTCCTATGAGCCTTTCAAACTCCTCCTGTAACTGTTTTAGCTTTTTCTTGATCAAAGAGGATCAATTCTAAAAGTCAAGCATTCTCTTCTCTCCAACCCAGCAACCTTATCCCTAGAAACTTGTCTAAAAGAATTAGACAACTGTACAAACAGGTAAGTACATGAACATTTATTGCTGCACTGGTACTAAGAATAAGAAATTACTTTAAATATATTAATAAAAAATCAGCTAAGCAAATGACACTATGGCTATACGGAAATACCTGGAATTTATGGAGATAACACACGTCTGTATTTACTGAATAGAACCACATCTGTAATGTGTATAGTAGGATGCCTTTTTAAATACAGGTATATATAAAACACGTAAGTATGTACACGAATACATTCCAAGTGTTATGCGTGAGGCCTGTGGCACTGTCATTGCTACGGGGAGGAGACAACGTGCACTTAGCGCGGTGTCTGCGCAGAGGGGAGCTTCGGACGCCTGCCAACACGGAGTCATTTCATCACGCCTGCCAACACGGAGTCATTTCATCACAAGACCAGAACCTCAGGTCTTTTCTCAGTTAACAACTTAGCAGAGATGATCAACTACTTAAATACATTATCTTTAAAATGATACGTATCCTAGATAAATGAAAACAAACACACTGTTCTGTGAAATGACTATTTTTTATGGTAGCTAAGCACTTTTGTGTCTTTCTGTTTTCTTTTCCAAAGATAAATCTGTTACGTAAAATGACAAAAATCGAGTCTTTCTAACAGTCCTAACCTGCAGCCAGATGTTTAGGGTTTCAAATCTCTATGCCAAAGCCCACCACCAGCCTTCCTGACTGGCAGTGGAATTTACTGCCCCGTAGAAGGCAATTTTCTCCCTTGTGCTGCTTTGCAGTGTTCATTGTTTTCATGGTTATCACCCTATGAAACTGAAAGGAAAGAACACAGCTCTCTGTTCCTTGACAACAAAAACTCTGACATCCTGACACACCCAGTTTATAACCTGGCACAACACAGAAGACTTCGGTTCGCACCTAACCCTACAAGAAGTCTCCAGCACAGTCCTCTCATGGGTAAACATGACACAAATTCTGATCTCAGAGATTAATTCGGTGCACCAGAGCGCACCACCCAACTGACACAAGTGCAGTCTCGGGGAAGTGGAACAGGGCGTGGGGCTGCTGGAGCCACGGACCTCAGCAGGGCAGGCGCCATCTGGGGACCAGACAGTACAACCACTCTCATTACACTTCTCGGAGGAAGACGGCAAGCAGAGCGCCCCGGAGCACATTAGGGAAACTACCAAGTCATTACTCTCCCTGGATCAAAGAGACAATCTGCTCATTCTCCACTGAACCAGAACCCCAACAGCCATTCCTTTCACCCCACACTAAGCGCTCACTTTTCTCAGTTCTGCAGGCCCACAAGACCCACACCCTCGGGTTCATCATTCAAGCTTTTTACTCAACACAGCTGCCAAGAGCCCAAAGTGAAAACCTACTTTACCTAATTTCCTGAGAGTCAACAGGTCACTCTGAAGGCCAAGGCTGAGGTCGCAGACACCTCCCACCTGGCTACATTCTTAGGCTCCCTCTGCAGTTCTCCTTCCTCACTACAGGCTGCTTCCTGTCTAGGATTATGCATCCCTAAGCCTGACCCCTCACTCTTCACCCAACCACATCACAGACGTGGCAGAGAGCGTTGGGAAATCAGTCTAAAGGCCAGGGAGGTGTGGGGAAAAGGAAGAGAGGAGAGAAACCGTGTGAACTCCCACATGCACCTTCCTCCGCCACGTGCAGGCAGAAACCAGCAACACCCGCCTCCTCCCAGGTCGCTATGTCTTCCCAGACAGGTGACATCAATAATTATAATAATTAATAACTCCAGAAAAAACTGTCCCAAAACAAGTGAGAAGAATGTTCTATTTTTTAAAAGGGATATCATAATATACAACAAAAAAAACTACAAAAGTGTTCCAGACTAAAAAAGACTTTCAAGAGACATGACACCTAAATGCAGAAGCCAATCTCAGCCTGGATCCTGTGTGGCAGAGCAATGCCATAAAGGACATTTCGAGTCCGCTGAGAAAAGGGCACTGAGTCGTAACCGCAGTACGGCTGTGGGCTCTGTAAGGGAGCAACAGCCTTATTCTTAGGAAGGGTGCACTCGAGTATTCAGCAGTCAAGGGCCATGGTACATACCACTGACTCTCAAGTGGTTCAGAAAGAGAAACCGCATACAGACGTGTATACGGTGTGTATGTGCAACTGATAAAGCAAATGGGCAATGTGGGTGAAGCACGGACATAGACTTCGTCCTCTTCACGCCTCGCCACTTTTCCGTAAAGTTGAAATTTCCAAGTAAAGAGTTGCAAAAAGTAAACGAACACAGCGAACTAGACCAGGGTTTCCTGGCGTGCAGGAGCTGCGTGTCTCACACTCATCTGTACCACCGCTGCGCCCAACCACACCCGGGACAGGACACACAGCCAACGCAGATCTGCAGAACAGAAATGGTGCCTGCACGCATGGCATAAGAGCCTTCGAACAGCCTCTCCCTGCCTTCCGCACACAGACCACAGCGCACACATTCAGAGACACACTCACACACCTTGTTCTTTCACTGGCCCACACGCTCCACAAGGACTGGATGCACAGCCTCATTCTCCACAACTCTTAAATTTCTTGGTACAGGTACCGTGTATGTAGTTAAACGAGTAAACACTCAGTGAACTTCATCAGAGATTCATGAATGTCCACACAGTAACGTATAGAGCAGAATCCCAGACTGCTCAGAAAGATCTTTCTTTTGGTTCGAAAACCCACAGCCACCCTGCTCCTCCCGGCCTTGCAGGGTGCAGGACAGAGGCTCTGGGAGGGAATGCAGGACAGCAACTTAACCCTCCCGGGTAGTTCCCATGAGGTCCTAAATTTACACCCATTTTCGCTCTTTTGGAATACAGTGGCTGGCCCCTGAAATAGACCTCCTAGTGAGAGGAAAGCAGATCCGAGATTTAAAAATTCAACAGGTAATCCAGTATTGTAAAAACAGAACAATCCATAATTTTGCCAATTTTTCCTTCCTTTGGCATGTTGAAATCGATTACTCCTTTTTTCCTTAACTTGCCCTTAATGAAAAGCTCTGAACCCCTGCTGGTGAGTCAAGCTCTGCAGCTCACAGATGAACTGACTACAGCTCACTGCTTTCGCAGCGCCAACAGGAACCACACAGGACTGTTTTCCAATCACAGATTTTAACTCTGGTCAAACAATTTACACTCATGAAATCGGCAAGGTCGTTTCACGCCTCCTATACATTATTCACTTAGACATCACTCAGTGAAACATACAAGGAACTCTTTCCCATCTTCCACGCAGGATAAACTGCCGATTTACCGTGTTAACGTCTGAGAGCGCTGTGTTGCTGTTGTCTGAACTGCATTTTGACATTGTGATAGCGGCTTATTGGAAAATCACAGCACGCCCATGCTTCTGCTCTAAAAACAAATGCAAAAATAGCCAATTTTAAGATTCCTGCACTTAAACTGAATATAAATACATCTGTAAGAGCAGCTTACTGACACGAAGAACTGAATAAGGGCCATCATTTTTGTATTAAACCTTAAACAAAAGACATTTGGGTTATTGTAGGACACTAAGTTATTCTGAAACAAAGAACAAGGGAAGGAACAATAGTAGGCTTAACCCCAAGAGATGTGGGGGAATGAAAAAAGTGCAAGAAAAGATTCTGAAATGAATATAAGGAAATGAAACAAAGTAAAACTCTAAAAATAGCAACTAGGAAAATGAAAGAATAAAAGGATAAGTGTGTGTTATTTCCTGAATTCACATACACAGAACACTGAAGGTCACTAGAAGAGGTAACCTGGCTAAAAATCCAAGTCACTCAGAAATAAGTCTTCAATATATGTACAAAATACATCAGCCATTTCAATTTCTCAAAATGAAATTAAAAACCAATTCAAAGAACAGTTAAACCCACACAATAAACTCTTACAGAATTCATTTATGAGTAAAAGAACTTAGGAACATAGTTCGCCAGTGTTAATATTGTAGAGAAATTTAAATTTGGGGTGGTTCTCCTAGTGGAGATCATAAACCGGAAACTAAGGCAGCACAAAGTACTGAGATGGATGCCGAACTGAATCAACACCGTTGACAGTCAGATTTGACCCTGGCCCATCAGCGCACCACGATGCCCCTGGGAGCAGAGGCTCAGGAGGAGCGACTCTCATCGTTCAAGTCCAGCCTGGTGTTTAAAGAACAGTCCTGTGGAGGGCCAGCCTTCTTGTTGCACACACAAATTTATTTCCTACAGGTTAACAAAGCAGAATGGGGACACCTTAACACTATGTAAGTATGTCCATATTTACCTCAAAATGCTGAGTCTAAGTCCTTTCAGTCCCCAAGTCTGTATTAATTCATACCCTAGGTAACCTAAAAGCAATCAGAGAGAATATTTTAGAACATGCAACTCAGTTTTAAAAACCAACTTTAAGAAATTTTCTACTTAACAAAATTTCCATATTTAACTCATCAGAGTAAGATCCCTGATAATTTAGATATAGCTATTGGGAGTCAAGAAAACGGTACATGTCTGAAAGAGGTGCCCTTTAAAATTTGTATTTATTATGTTCTAATTCGAAAATTTTAAAAAGTTGTTAATATGATCTGACATAAGGGAGAATTCTTGGCAGTAAATTACATTTTCCTCCAGTAAAATCTGGCTTTAAAAACACTTCGACACTATGCTAAGTCAGCCTCATGCTTCCCAGGAGCACGTAAGCACCTCCCTGTCTCCTGGTTTGTCAGCTCCCTAAAGCTGCCTCGTGCTTCACTCACAATTCCGTTCCATGCTGCCACCCGGTAAGGAGTGCGTTGAGTAAACCAGCGTCACTCCCTCTTTTCTACTTCAAATTCACCTCTTTTCTAGAAGCACCGTAACCAAGAGTAAGCTGATAATCCTTAAATTCACTGCAGCTCCACTATTACTGCTGAATTATCCAAATTATTGCCCTAGACAATCCTGTATAGATACTTTAGAAAGTTAACATGCCAAGTACAATGAGAACTTATTTTATATTCGTAATACATAGACAATCGGTTGCGCTTTTAATTTTAATTGACCACCACGACTTGAATTACAGCCATCAAACTCCTATTGGATAGGCTCCTTCAACCCTGAAGAAGACATGCCACACGCTGCCGTCAGGCTGCAGCACAAACCAACTCAGCACACATCAACATCTGGCCCACACATCAACATCTGACCCACACATCCACATCTGGCCCAGCACAGGGCTGCGCTGCTTCACACAAAGGCCGCAACAACAGGCAGCTGACCCTCTTGTCTCAAGTCGAAAGGCACCTAGAGCTTCCTGGTAAAAGAAAACTTCCCACTCACTCATTTTCTTGTAATGTGTCACAGAGTCCGATACTAGTAACTTTACACGTATCAGCGTTCAGATTGCATTCCTGCTCTTGTGAAAACCAAATGCACAACTACCATAAAGTCTTACAGGGAACATAAGTGAATAAGACTAAAGAAAAACAACATGGACACTGTTACATCAAAACAGGGAGAAAAGTACTTCTGTAAACTAACAGATAGAACTAAAAATGGTGGAACAGCTGTTAGATTAGTTTATAGTAACTGACCAGGAAAACAATTCTGAGATGTTCTAAACTAAAATTACAGCGGCTAGAGAGACAGAGAGAGAGAAAGACAGACAAAGAACAGTCAGCCTGTTTAAAGCCCTGAGCCAGTGCTAACAAGACTGCTCACACTCCTTGGCCTATGTTGAAATTGTGGATTCATTTCCAGGTGGCCAATTCCCAGGTTTTTCCAAAGAGTGAACTCAGCAAGACAACCCCGAACCCCAGGAACCTCAGCTTCTCATGCACACCGGAGTTCTCCAGACTTGTGCATGGTCTGTCCAAGGGAGCGGACACTTCTGCCCCGGACTCTGCTATCCCAGAAGTGGGACAGGACCGTCTCCTGTCCTTTTTGTCTATAGCCAATGCCAATTCTTTCAGAAGGGCTTACCTCTCTCTCTCCCCTACCTGATGTATAAAAACACTTGCAGAACTCCAGGAGCATGAACAAGCCGTCTCTTCTACCGAGCCGCTCCATGCCCCAGTCTTCTCCCCCCACCCCGCCCCAGCAATGGCCTAATAAGCCCTTTCTTTTAGAGACTTTCAACCATGGAAGTTAAAATTTTTTGTTTAACATTACAAATATGCTATGGCATCCAAGGCATGATTTTAACTCCAACCAAGCATAAATCACTTAACGGATCCCTGGCACTGGACACCAAGTGACAACTCTATATGACTGTCTATATGGTTGTTGGTTTAAGGGCAAAATTAAAAGTAACAGGCTAATACTCCCACTTAAAAATAAATGGAAGAGACATTTCTTTCTTTCCCTATCCTTTTTTAATAAAATTCTTTCTCGGACCTTTCCAAATGTATGTGACTCTTAAACCTGAGTCCTTCTTACTTCTCAGGAATGTTTCCTTAAGGACCTGAGAACCAAATCTGAAATGTAATCAAGAAAGATAACGCCCAGTCTCCAAGTTTCCTAGGGAGAGAGATGGACCTGTTCTGTGATCTGACTCCAAACTGCAAAACCTACCTCCAGTGAGAAAACCATGAGAAGTCAGCAATTTCCCCTGACAGCATGGATGTAACGGGCTGGACCGACCATGCTGCATGAACGAACAAGACCTCGCCTGCTTCCGATCTCTTTGGTGGCTGACCTGTGATGTACTGCACATTCTGGTTCCGTGTTTACTCAATAACAAAACTGTTCTCTTTCCTTCCACCTTTATGGAGAGGTTTTCTGGGTTGTGAGGAGATTGTGTTTCTAATCATATCTTCCCAGCACCAGCTTTAAAAAAATTTTAGAAGTCCAATTCTCAAATAGCCAAATAACAAATAACAAAATTCCATTCCATGGAACTTAAATACTAGAGCAATCCTACAGCTGCCTCACTGTCCTGGGGAAAGGAGTTTCAAAAAAAAAAGAGGGAACTCGGAGGACACACAGCCCATTAAAAAAAATCTGCATACAGAGGGATCCAGGTTACTGAACTCCTTACCAACCACCCTGTTCCACATTCAACTCAGAGCAGAGCCTCACCTGTTTGCCTAACTTCCTACGTCAAGTCGATGGGTCACCTCTGAACAGGTCCTCATACAGTTGCTCCCTCCTCCCCCGACAGAGGCCCTCTGATGTAGGAGGGGCACCAAGGAAGGCCACTGGGGATGCAGAAGGCAAAGTCTTCTTTGTTTTTTCAAGTGTTTTTCATTTAAAATCATCTGAGTGCCTGCCAGCCAGGGGTCCCGCGTCTGGAAGACCAAAGTTTATCAGACTCCGCCGCCTTGTTCTAAGGTGGTTTCCTTGCCTACGAGATAGGAGCACCTGACCACCAGGAAGACCAAACGAGACGCGCATCACGTTTTAAGCCTGGTGGAGAACAAGGGCTTGCTGCACAGAACACGCTAAGTGGCCGTTTTTAAAAAACCACAGGACCATCTGCACCTAGAACCATGTTTTCAAACAATTCTTAAGACTTGAAGGAATTTCTTGAAGAAAATCTAAGATGTTTTATTAATCCCTAAATTCAGCATAGAACATGTATTCTCATAAAAATTTAGAGTATATAAGATTTTATACAGTGCTTTAACCTGATGAACATGAAAAACCCAAAACTCCAAACTACCTGGTCATGATGAATTTACAGAAGGATAAAAACCTATTTAAATCACAAAATATAGTATATAACGTAAAATAAAATTAACTAGCTTTGTATCCACTGGTTTTCTTTAAAAGCGAAACGCAGAAAGTCCCGCGCTACTTCCGTTGGCTCCACAGAAACCACTGAAAACACTGCCTCCCTTACTGCTTCTCATGCAATAAAATGGTGCCAAATGGGCGAGAAATCATCGTCACCAAATGGACAAGTTTGAAAATACAGGAAGTTGGAAAAAAACAAAAAAATGGGAAACATCCAAAACTTCTATAGCACAGACATTTCAAGGGTTTACCAGCCAGTGTCTGGTGAACACAGAGCAGGACAAGGCCAAGGACACACCAAAGGCCGAGACCAGAGAGAAGCCAGGGGAGGCCAACGTCAAGAATGTGAACACTGGCCCCTTCAGATTCCAATTCCACGGACACTGCCATTTTAACTTGTCATATCTGTCACCATTAATTAGAAATCCTTGCAGATTAATCTAGCCTACAACATGAACAACAACAAAAAACCCGTAGAGAAATGCCTCCCTCAACATCACCAACTATAATAGCAAAAAGTGCACCTCCCACCCCCTGCCCAAATCTGAATGTCTCACAATGAGCGAGGGAATGGTTTGGTAAACCATGGCTCATTTTATATGACGAAGTTCAATTGAGCCACTGAAAATCCTGAGTTATAATGAACAAAAATGCTTATGCTATAGCATTCAATGAAAAAAGTAGAACATTTTCATTTACAGTAATACCATGACTACATCTTCAAGTTAAAAACTTATGGGGGAGGGAGGGAAAAGTGGAGAGAAAATATTCACTCAAAAATTGAGCGTGTGATTACTGCCAGGAGTGATCTCTTTTCCTGAGAACTTTTCTGCATTTTGAAATTCCCTACAATGCGATCATTTTATTACTTTTAAAATTGGAAAACAAACTTCCAAACTGAGAATGATTTGTACAAAGACAATAGAGATAAACGATTCTGTTTTAGGTGCTGGAGAAGAAAAATCTCTTCCTCCTGAAGCCATTAAATGCAGTACATTTTACTCCAGTTTCCATAACTCAAACCACAAACTCAATAGCCTTCTTCTTCCTGCACTACTCTATGAACCACATTTCTGGGTTTCTCTAAATCTGTAACATAAATATATTATGTTTACACTGCAACGTAATTATGCCTAAAATTAGATTTGTCCAAAATTGAAGTTGAATGCAGGTCAAATACCATTTTAACAAATCCCATCCGTCAACATTTCCATATACAAAGTGTCTCTGGGCTGCGGGCCAACGGCACACTCACTGGGAATGCTGTCCCACACACCAAAGTCGCGGGGTACCTGTCCCTCCCCTTCAAGTTGCCTACAACGCCATTCACCCTGCAGTTCTGTTTCAAGAGAAGTAAATACTTAAAGCACCATTAGCATTCAAGGGGAGTTTTATGGTTAATGTTTGATGCCTAGTTTCTGTACTTGACTCAATAAAAACACTGTTCAACAAGTGCTAGAATTTTACTCAATTCAAGACACCTTCTACCTGTCTTTTACACCACTTAAGGCCACCCACGAGGTAAGAGGGGACACAACTTTCTATGTCAAGCAATTTTAACACCATATCACTAGGACATTTTAATACTAAAGAGAAGTCCTGAGGCAAAAGGAGCTTGAGAGAGGCCGAGTGTGAG